GTATCATGCTATTTCAGTAAACAACAAGCAAAGTTTTTTTTGAGGCTACTGCTTTTGTGAATACTATCCATGCTCATTTTGTTTAATCTTGTGATCAACTGTATTTTGATATCAACGTAATTATCGTTGACACAATTTTACGCATAATTCTATTTGATCTTGAAGTTGAGGATATTTTCATTGATTGGACGTTGATACTCTTTAAACCAATCAAATTCGATAATGTGATTGTATGTTATGGAGTTTTTATTAAGAACTTCAAGCTTCAAGACTTTAAGCTTTTCAAACTTGTTATTGGAATAGTCAATCTTCATTCTTTAAAAATGTGTCAAATGGAGTGTGGACGCAAAGAATTGACTATCAATTATCTTAAGCGATGCAATGATGCAAAAGTATAATTGCTTGTTCAGATTGTTGCCGTCGTTTGACTTCAAAAGCTAAGCAAAATACTTGTTGGTTGCTTAATGATTCATTCTATTCATCAATTGTTGAGAACACTTCAAATTTGACGTTTAAGTGAAATTTGATATAAGCACTAGGCTACAATGCTTCCATTTATGTTTTCTTTCTCCTTACGGACAGCACATCAAAGACAATTTGTTTGAAACGCTTGAGAAGGTTATGAGGATATACATTGTATTCAACAACCTCCGATGATGTACTAAATATGATAGATTGATTACGTGGAATAGTGAATCGTGTTGCTTATTGAGTTGAACAAAAAAATTGCTACTTAATTTGATTTTGATGTGATGCACACCATCTTGATGTTGTGCACATCAATTCAATGTTGTGATTCAAATCGTTATCAACATAAATCTTGAGAATCTTTTTTACTCAAAGTTACTCGCCACTATCAGATACTTGCATTGACAACAAAATTTGACCAACGAAATGAGTAATATTCAAATGATTATTGTTGTTGAAAATGTTATCTTGATTTTTAACTCATTGTTGCCGTATTGTTGGCTACATATTTCAAAAGTATTTCAAACACATTGAATTTTGATTTCAAAGTATTGCTGTATTTTCATTGATCAAATCCCTGCAAAAATTGAGATTCTGTTCAAAACTTGTAGCATTTACATTGCTAGTATTACAGCAAGAAGTTGTATTGTATCGATTCATCCACTTTCTTCAAGCTGTGATAGGATTGCAAGGTTTACATTCCAAATCGCAAATTCAGAAACAAGATCAGGGCATTTGGTGTTATAACATTTTTTACAAAATTGTCAAAAACGATGTTGTTTATTTTGTTCAAGAATATGATTTGTTTATTGCGATGTCATTTGATAGTTTGTCTGATGCTAAGAAGGATGTTGTAGATTGTTGTTGCTAAGAAGAATGTAGTGGGGTGATATGTTGAAAAACTAGTTGTTAGTTTGACACAAGGGATACATGTGATCAAGCTTGAAAGGTATAATATCACTTACAGACAATGTCTTTATCCCCATGTATTACTCACAAATTTGCTACTATGTTTGCATTAAGCTTTGCAAATTTGTTACTATGCTTTCATTAAGTTTTGTGAATCTCATCTTTGAATTTTGAGCTAGTCTTAAAAAAAATTCAGCAACAAGTATATTGACATTCTAGAACAAGATAAAAATGAATTTGCGGAATGCTTATCAGAGAGAAGATGTACTCCGCGAATCAATCAATCAAATGTCAAAATCCGTCTTGAAATCCCAACTATGTACGTTTGCTAGATGATTTGCTAATGTATATTCTGGTACTACGCGTGTGGAGTATGATTTCTCCGTGGTTAGGTGAAAGTAAGATGAGTACCAATTGTCCTTAATGAATTTGTTAATAGATGTCATTATGCATTGTAAACAATTCAAGGAAATTTTAGCAAATTAAATTGTGATCATATTTTTCATAAATAAAAATCAACTGACATCATTATTTACTGAATTATGACAGATTTGGCAATTGAAAAGTTAGTAGAGTTCTGACAATGATGATTTATTAATAACATTTATGCTATTTGATGTCAATTTATGTTATTTGCACTTTATCACAATGAAAACAATATAAATAAAAAAGCTCTGTGTAATTTTTTTTGGAAAAGTAGTCAATTGACTACTAAATTTCTTTTTAATTAATAATTACCAAGAGTAGTTTAATGAACTTTTAATTGTGCATGTTCATACAACATGAGTTATTATTTAATTATTACTTAATAATTGATTTTTAAAAAGTTTATAAAAGATAATCAATCTTGTCAAATTGATATGTTGAAAATGTTTGATAATATTATGTTCATTCAATACTATATATCCTTGTGATGAGTAAAATTTACCATTCTCTTGAATGTTGGAAATATATTATTATCAAAGAAAAAAATTTCATATTTTAATAAAATTCATGATTGAGTATAATATTGACTTGCAAAAAAAGTCACAATTTTTTTGATTGAGCTAGCCATTTTTTTCCATGAATTTTTAAATTTTATTATGTTAATATGTTCTTAAAATACTAAAGATAAAATAATATCATTGAAAATATTATGTTCATCATTTTGAAACAACTAGTTGTTAAACTATGGTGTAATTATTTAGAAATTAATTACCATTGTGTGTTAAAAAAATTGGTATCATTGAATACATAAATTGTTAAATTGAAACGAATAAGATTCAAACTCCAACGTTTCACACTGTTTGTTATGTATATTTGATTGATGATTATGTGATATTCAAATGAATTGTTTCTCATGAGTTTTTGGAGATAGTTGTAACCAATAAAAAAAATTCAAAGCAATGTTTAAAAGTACAAGAAAGATTTAATTTTAACTTCTTTCAGCATCAAGTGCAACACTAAACCATTCGAGTTGTATTGTCAAAACATATTAATTCACACTGTATTTCAGCTATGTACTTCACAAACAAAAAGATCTTGTTAAATTATTCAATAACATTTTATTGGAGCGTATAAATGGCACATCAAGCAAAGTAGGTTATCAAATAAACTTCAATTAGATTTTATAAACATTGTGCATTTGTTAATAAAATCTTCACACTCTAGTGCAATCAATTGCATGATGTTGTTTGAATTGATATTAATACAAAATAAATGTTATTATTTGTATCAAATTAGAAAATAATTACAATTATTTTGTAATTTGATAAAAAATAATAATAATCTGCTAATCATCTTGAATTGTAATGCACATAATTTCATATCCAAGAAAAGTAAATATAAGTTGGATATTATTTTCAAAAAATGAGATTTTTAAATATCAATGTGATTTGAAGAATGTTCAAATTTTGAAATTCACACATTTGTAAATTATTTGACAACAGATTATTTTGTTAATGATCTTAAATCATCAAAGAAGAAAAAGAAAGCTCAATATTTTCACTATTAAAAAGATAATTCTTCAAAATAACTATTTATAATGATGAAATTCAAAATAAATGTGTTGTTACATGTTGATAAAGCTTGCCGATGAATCTAGAAGAAATATCTAGCAATTTTTTTTATAAATTGGATGCATGAAATAGGAGATGAAGATGTTGGCATGGATTTATCTAAGGCAATATAATGGATTCATATTATTTTTGTTAATTTTTTAGTTTTTGTTAAATATATTTTAGATTATTGAAAATTATATAAGTTTAACTATGAAAATAATTAAGAATATAAAATATAGTTTTTTTCATGCATAAGTTCACATAATTATCATTCTTAAGTAAAAGACTTTGATTTATTTATTGGTATATCAATTTGAGTTTTCTTCAAGATTTTTCAAGATATTGCAATATGATTTAGTGAAACAAAATCAATAATCACAAGATCTCAATTTTTGACATAATGGAGTTCTGTGAGCATCTCTTTTCGTTTTTTTCTACCTCCAAAAATTGTGTAAAACATCATCGTTTGTTAGCTTCAAAGAGATATAAATCAAAATTTTACGCAACAGTTTTCCTTTCTAAAACTTCCACCACTTTATTAATATCCTTCAACAAGAGACTATCATTGTGTTGCTGTGACAGAACACTCACAGTTTGTTCAACATATTTTTCAAATTCTTTACAAAAATATGAGAAATATTCTGGAAGATTTACTGAGAAAATGGTGAGATTTGACCCAAGAAATCGATTTTTTCCTAAACACTTATCTTCTCTTCCTGGACCCAATTTTTAATTCTTTCAACAAGTTCAAGTAACTTTTACAGTAACAGTTATATAAAATACCAGTTATAAAGCTTCAACTCTACACGATGTTCTGTTTTTGTTAGAAGTGAGATATTATCTAAACTTACAAAATGTTTTGAACCTATGATTTTTAAAAATATTAATGTATTGAGTGAAGATATTCATTTTCCAGTAAAGTTAGCTCAATTTGGTCAGTTTAATGAGCTTTGCTCGGTCTAACTGCAACCTCTTTGACTGCAACATGCTCTGTCTCGAGAAATGCAGATTTACTAATGCATTTCTTACAACAGTAAGAAATGCCTTGGAGTATAAAGTCATGACTTTCCCCAACTGCAAATGCTCATGTCACTATGAGCGTTCTAAAAGCAAATCCATGAATATGCAGGAGTGAACTTCAAAAGGTTTGGCAATCTGTCTATGTGGTTAGTTTAGTTGATCGTCCTTAAGTGCAATTCAAGGACGATCACGACCTTCAATTGACAAAAGTGATCATAAGAGCAGGGATTCAGCTCTCCACGATCACGTTTGTGAGAGTTTCAGTTAAATCTGAAACTTTCGTAAGCTCGTACGAAGGTTACTGCCGAGATGTTGCATACCTGGAGAGTCTATTCTAAAACATTATTCACTCAAGTATAAACCATAAGTTCCTCTTGTATCGAGACAAAGTGATTAGTGAATCACACATCACTTTGTCTGAAACTGATGTGGGTTTGGTTAACGTAATTCTTCCTGCCCTAATTTACTAAATCTGAGATAGAACTCACAGATTATGCACTTTAACCAATGTACAGACAACATCACGTTTAGCAGTCACGTGCAAGATGATATGAGTAACATTGTGGTGAAAGCTTACTGTAAGCATCTCTGAATAATTTGGTACATTTCTCGTTACAAACCATATCAAAGGAGCTGAACAGGGTCTTGCTCAGGCATTGCAAGCCGACCCTTGGGCTTTGACATATCATCCTGTACCGAGCTGGCTTCGCTATCATGCACACTGGCTTCACTTTGTTTCTGTTTGATCTCCAACTGACCTCCTTAAAGTTGTTGGTAGAGGCTAGTCAAGAGTTAATCAAGATGGAGCCATTCGTTCAGGATAAGGGACATGTTTAGACGTTCTCTTTCGCACTGTCTGTACAGAGGAGGACTGTTCGAAGTCTTATAATCCATCGCACACATCCTCCAAATTCTGTAGCTATTGCGGTCACTGGTTCATCGCTCTGGCTTCTCTACATTCATCCTGTACCTGAGCTAAAATACAAGAGTTGCATAATTCTACATATTTACTCACTTCGGGCTCAGAGCCTTGTTGACTTCGTTCTGAACAAATGAAATGGAGTCCATGGTCGATTTGGCGAGCCAGCTGAGTGCAACCTTGGCTTTGTGTTCATTTGTAGGAAGTCGATATAGGTAAGCCAATTTTCTCGCTGCACAGAAACCAACAACATAATGTTCCGAAGACGTCAAAGATGGGATAAAAGGAACTTGCGCAATTGACGACACTTTGATGGCGAATGGAGACCAGCAGGGATGAAACAAAATTATAAATGAGCACCAAAAGATTTCTCAGCTTCCGATACATATCCTGTATGAATTACTCACCAGAATGACCGACGATACCATCCAGTGTGAGGTCAACAAAACCAGCAGTAACTGCTGCATCTGTTTTCCCAAGTGTCATCATTTCACCCAGATGTTGATATCTGATGCACAGTCAACAGTCATCAGTTGTGCACGCTCATAGTACATAGAATCCTCAAATACAGAACAAAAGCAGATCTGACCGTCAACTCGTACTGGATCCAGTATAATAGGATTCAACAAAAAATGCATGTCATTTGTTGATATAAAATATTATAAAATCGAACAGCCTCAGAGGAAAAAGCCACAAGTACAGAAGAGAAAGAATCAGGTCTCAACCTAAAAGGTAGAAGTGGACGGTCATTAATGGCGGCCCATAAGTTCCATCCTGCATAATCTGCTTGCTGGAATGCGACCTAAGATGAACACAAAAGGGAATCATCAGAAGTTTCTTCTACGTCGTGCTAAGAGAATCAACTTTCGTCAGCAAATACAGCGCATTAAGCAGGTATTTCAATGGATACACGAGCTACTTAACCAACAGAAACAAAGCTGAAGGAGTCGAGACAGGTAGAAAGATGGATCGGGATGAGTAGATACTTGAGCTGTAGATGGAAGATTTCTTCCTGAGCTGTCCTTCGTGCCCGCTGAGTCTCCAATTGCGAAAATTCGAGGATGTCCCTTGACCCTCAGATTTTCGTCGGTATCAGCCTGGCCACGTCCGTTCACAGGGAATGCAGGATACTCCCTATCTTGTTCTGCAGATGGAACAGTGGCTTTGGTTCCGACGGTCCAAAGAACAAGGTCGGCTTCAAGCTGACTACTGTCACTTCTCCTCCTACTCGTTGCTAGTTTCAAATCCACTTGATATTTGTTAACTCCGCTTGAATTCGAGGCATTACCGTTGCCTTCAGTACTTATCCCTGTCTCTGTCGTAGATCTTATGCTACTAACAATATAGCCTAGTACAAGTTCCACGTTCCGGGCTGAGAGTACCTGCACGAGCCATGAAAAACATATATCAGCAGGTTTGGACACATGCCCCAAAAGCGAGGAACTCGTACAAATACTTCAGAATAGATAGCACTCACCCGTGAATGCTCTAAGTTGACGTTAGTAGCTGCATAAGAACAAAGACGCAGAGGTATAAAAAGTATCACACTGAGCAATTCAAAGATTGATCTGAACGGATTGAGAAGAACGCGTATAGAAGAACGTAGGGGAGAGTGAAGCAGACATAGCAGCGAGACGCAATACTAAAATGACCAAGAATTGCCTATGGTCGATGTGCAGCTCTTTGACAGCAGCGCCAGCATAGCGGATTATATATATATATATATATATATATATATATATATATAAACATAGCATCTTGTGCACTTATGAAGACCACACTTCGAACACATGCTACCATCCACTTGTGGGAAGACAGTAATCAGCGAGGGCCGCATCAACCTTCACTCATTAGACCTTTCCTGTCATCACCCGAGGTGGGAGCAGTAATAGACGGGAAGAAGGAGATGAAATAGGAGGGACTTTGAATTGCAACTTTTTGGGTACTGTTTCTCCTCGCAAACGAGGTTCGTTCGGAGCTTCGGGGCGTCCACAACGCATACACGGAGTTTAGGTTGGGCGAAAACAACTGTAATTTTTTTAAGTGAGTTTTACAAAAAGAACTTAACCAGACGACACCACAGAGAGAGAGCGAGAGAGACCATACTTTTTTAGCTGCTTCCCGGTTTCCTGCTGGAGCAGTAGCACAAATATCAGAACCTGCGTCTACTACTCGCAGTTTGCCTTTCTTCCCAAGCCTTTCTGCCAGAGTTGCTGCTAGCTCTACCCCACTATAACCGGAGCCGACTATCACAACCTGAATGGGGTTGTCTTGCGAATCATATCTTTCACGCTCAAGAGCAGTCAATCTCCTATCCACCTCCTGCAGTCCTTTCCAAGCAAAACTGAGTCAAACTTGCACCGAGTTATCTTCCGTATACGACAATTCCAGCTACATGTGTTAAGAAGACTACATGTGGCAAGACATAATACACAAAGAAAAAAGGTATGAGGATCAAACTTCAGAGACAAGGAGATGACAGACCAAGGCATCCTCCAAAGAGATAAACGGCAGGGCGTTCTCCACAGCTCCTGGGACAAAGTCTAGTCTGCTCTCAGCACCTAGTGCCAATACTAGCCTGTATACACCATAACAAGAGACATGTAAGCCGTAACTCCAAATTTCTAATTTGCCTGAATAGGTTATAGCACTGACAGTAAACATCAAATAGATGTGTAGAAACAAGATAATACGACACTGGAGCATCCAAAGAGAAAATACGACTTATCAAGGGAGTTCTTCATTCATCATCTGATATACTGGGCGAGACAAGCTTCCCGTATACCCTGTCCCCTTTCCTCAAACCAACTAATCCAGTGTATTGCCGTCAAATTTGTGTACTACTCTCTCCCGTCTGTTCATAAGGAATCGAAAGAGTCACCGACTGAACATTGCAGCTAGCAATATGTAGCTCACCAATCGTAGTCAACACGCGTCCCGCTCTCGAGTAGGACAGTCCCACCAGTGGCACCCCTCGATGAGGCTAAAGAACCGTTTTCTCTCACTTGATCAGAAGGTGAGACGGCCTTCACGGAGTCCTTGACAAACTCAATGTGTGTATTAGCAAGCAACTCTGCAAATGAAGGGGCAATTTCCCACTGGTCCACTTCTGCAATTCCACATAAATTAAAACTCAGCGTCACATTTGATAGCCGCGTCCCAGTCAAACGCACATATTGTCACGGCATTTTAGAAAGCAGAAGGCTCGAAATTAGATCAAAACAGTCGGGATGAATGGCAGGAAGATACAAATGTAATCATTTGACAGAGTAGGCACCTTTAGAAAGAATTTCGTAGAGCAAAGGCTTGAAGACGAAGCGATCAGATTGATCAATCAGTAATACCTGCACTGCAATTCAAAATCAAGCCTCTGAACAGTATTGATTCACGGCTGAACCAGGAAGATCGAAAGATTAAGTGTATCAAGTGACCTACACGACTACTACACGATGTGCAGTAGTCTTTGAACAGAAAAAAATAAAAAAACCTACGAAAACACAATAGCAGGATATATCCGACTCTCATGTGAGAGCTCACCTGCGGTCGCTTGTCAGGCGCCCAAGTAAGAGACTCAAGGCGTAAAGCTGTGTACAAACCACCGAATCCTCCTCCTAGTATACAAATTCTAGGTCTCTGCAAAGGCGATAGAATTACGAGAAAAAGTGTGAGGAAGTTGGGAAATCTTCCTAGGACAACCATCTGCAAGTCTTTTGTAAGCGATTTTGAATATCGACGTCACACTGAATATTTTCAAAAGACCATCGACGAGGAATATAGTCGGCATTTTCAGTTCTAAATGTACTCATACTATTGTATAATATTTTCCTCCTCCAATTCTTCGTTATAGTAGCAATAACGGTCCCAAATTAGTGATCAAGATTCAATCCAATTCACACTTATAAAACCACCTGTTTAGATGCGAATCACAAAAATTAAAACTTTGAACAGTTTTGGACTCGTGAAGTATGCACCACAACATCTGACTCTCTCAGAAGATAAGTCGTTTCATCCTATCCTATTCACTGTCACATTATCACTGTAACGAGCTGCGCGATCTCCTAAGAGTGTCAAACTCCATCAAGTCAGGGTGCTCTCATCGACCTTGAAGTGTCTACCTCTGAGACACGAGCGGCAAACAGTAAGTTTTGCAATCAATTATGTCAGTGGATACTACGGGTGCAGGCAACTCTCACCTTCGCATCGGACCAGGCATACGAGCTCGAAGGTTTCTCTTCTTTGATCGACAGTTCTCCGCGTGCTTCCGACTGTCCGTCGAAACGAAGAGCACCGAAAACCGGAGTAATATATGTCGCAATTCCTGCAAGACGAAGAATTCTCATGCCCGGAAAGTTTGAAATCTTGCGGAATTGTCGCCTCGCATTCTGATCGGCACTGCATCTTCGTCGAGACTCACTATGCACAGAAAGTTTCGTAGTCCAACCAGCTGTTGCGAGGGGAGTGCACGCGGCACAAGCGCCAGCCATATCTGCGTATGCGAAGACCTAAAGAATCAGCTGAGATTCTTCCCACAACGCCTGGGAGAGAATAGCTTCCATGGAACCATTCTCAAGAGCAAAATACACAAATTATGACACTGCACAGGCAATTCCTCCAGATTCCCAGTTGTCCCCAAATTTGTTCCCCCCAAATCTCCAGCATTCCAATGTTTTCATACCGGTAGGGCAGAAGTTGTCATAACGAAACGATATTATTCGCAAGACGAACAACTCTCCACCAAGTGAAACCACAAAAGCTGGAAACGCTACCCTCATCCCTCCGAGCTAATTTGCGGCAAAAACTCCTGGTCGCATTCAAACTATCTAGAAGAATCTTAAACGATCCTTCGAATCCAAACAATCAACCGACCAACAATTCCTCATCGAATCGAGGGGGCTACAGAGGAAGGAATTTAGCGGTGAAGTAGATTCCCGCCATGAAATTAAAACTCGACTCAGCCGATTCATGGACAAGGATTGATAAATTATTGAAGAAATATAAAATTTAACAAGCTGGCAAATGCTTCGACGCACTAAAGTGTCCGACAAAAGACGACGAGCGCAGGTGATAATCGACTGGCAGACTTTTCAACGAAGACGAGCGTGCAATGCAATCAATTGAGGACTGGAAGAATCACCTCTCGAGAGCCCGAGGAGAGACAAGTCAGCGGTGCAGACGTCGCTCACATGAAAATGAGACGGAATTGAATTGAGCGAGCAGAACTCAACTCAGCTCAATTCGATTCGATTTGATTCGGTCGCAGCATCGCCGAGTGCATCGACGGGCCACGTGGGCCGACTGATCCAGCAGCGTCCCGGGAGAGTTTGTGGTGTGCCCGTCCTTCCTCCCGAGCCCTCGACGCAAGCGAAACCTGACCATTCGGTCAAGACCAGCGTCGGTCCAGCGCCCCAATCCTCAACGTGGTTCAATTCTGTACTCGATAGATGTTTCTCCGTTGCCGTAGCTTTCTACGTCCTAACACGCAGTGAGCACATCCATCCATAATATATGAGAATTTTCTGGCGGGAGATTCATAATTTGCATGGGAGACCCTTATCAAGGGTTAGAATGAATATATGAACGAGTGATGTTGTATAACACATTAAATCTGAATAAATTATTGTTTGATGTTGTAAGCACTTGACTCATTGACTATTGACTAAGATTGTTGAGGGCAGACAGTTACATCATTTGGCTGAGATTCTAGTCATCAAATAAATACAATTATACTGGGGTTGCCTCAGGTGATTCAGCTGGAGTTCATCAACAATGATATGAGGGACGAGTTCAATAAAATTATCAACTTGTCCACTGAGCCTTGCTTTGGTACAGTGAACAAATACTGATACGTGTTAGAGCTTCATGAAATTGAATGAGAAACGTAACGAGGAAGGATGTGAAAAATTGATCGCTCATCTATAATCAGAGAGATATGAACAGAGATTCGCAGTCGATTCTTTTCCTCATTTTATAATAGTAATAATACTTTATCATCTAGTTGCTGTTATATTATTGTGATTTCATCCACTGTACAGAAAATTTATTAATTTTGTCATCTTTCATCTCGAGCAGTAAGTAAGATCAATGGAATAACAACGGAATAATTTTTCATGAGATGAAATCAGCTGTAGAAGTTTATATTCAAATATGTCATTGACAAAGAGTTCTGAATGATCATATCCTCATCTAACACTTGTGATTTCTAAACCATACGTGTATATGTACTTGCTTACATGTAATCTCAGCTTAATCTCTTGGAATGATGCACAGTCTAGGACCTTCAGGATACTCTACCACTTTCATCACTATGGGATCTGGTTTTGGGCGGCGAATCTTTGCTTCTATTTGCTCTCTAGAGCGGACACAATTTGGTCCAAGATTGTCGTACGATCTCACTCTGAGTGTTTTAGGACTTTCTACCTCAAAATTCAGAAGTTGTCCCACTTCAAATCCGTACGCCTTGACAAATTTTATCCAGCCTCCACTGAAGAGACGACGACGAGAGAAGAACTTCACAGGCCAACTGGTTTCGTCCTTGTCGTATATGAGCGTGACGTTTGTATCTTCTCCAGGAAGAAACAGTCTGCAGAATGTAGGATCAAGGCCCTGAAGCAAATGTATCAAACAAAATGAGAATTTAGATAAATGAACTTTGAGACAAATGCCTAAATTACAACATTCATAACTAAAACACTCCACTCAGCAACAATGTAGCTCACCATCAAAAAACAATGATGAACACTTGTTTTGTCCATCACTCTGAATATGTTGGGGCCTTTGATGAGACATGGGAATGTGTGTATTTTCTCCAGATGATTCCAAGCATCTCTCTTAAGAAATACTGACTCCTTTGTCAGTTGAGCCCGCGTCTTTCTTCTCACGTTCATCTTGAAATTTTCAGAATCCATTGCAGTAAACAGAAGAATTCTCACTGTGATAAAAGCAAGCAAACTGAACTATTTTAGATGTCTAAGAGAGGACAAAAGATGGAAGATGAACAAAAGGGTTGAAACCAAAGGAAGATCAAATTAATCAAAGAGGCAGTGGGATGATTCTCAATATGTACTAAGACTAGCTCAAGAACATTATAAAGTACTTCAAACTTGGAAGACGTTGCCTGGAGTGAGTTTACTTGAGACACTGAGACTAGCAAATGAATGGAGTGTTTAAGTCAAATGCAAACACCTAAGTCTTCTCAAATTTTGAGAAAAATTGTGAATAAATCTGAGAGAGTTTGAACATGGAAAGAGTTTACTTGAGTGACTATGACTGTACTAGCTCCTTGAAGTTGCTAAAAGTTTCAGGAAGTTGTCTCACCTATGAAAAAGACCACATGAGCATACACGTAAACATGTTCCAAAATGAGAAATGTGTATTATATATGCATGTAAAATCTTGATGTGAATATGACAGTTGAATCACATTGACTTTGAACTTATCATTATCCATCAGTCTTTCTATTTCCTTGGTTGGAATTGATTGATGTCACATGGAGTGTTTCAGTAGAAGTGAAACACCTATCACATCTTAAGATCATCTTGAATAGTTCTGAGTGAGGTTAATCATAGAATGAGTTAACTTGAGTTACTGGGACTGTACTAGCTCCTTAAAGTTTCTGAATATTTCAGTGTCTTACAGGTAAAAACCATCATTCTTATTCTTTCTTGGTTGGAAAAGATTGATGTGACATGAATGGAGTGTTTCAGTCGAATTGAAACACCTAATACTTCTCACATTCTAATATTAATTGAACAGATTTGAGTGAGTTTTAGCATGTCAGTGAGTTTACTTGAGTCACTGTCACTGTATTAGCTCTTTGAAGTTGCTAAAAGTCTCAGGAAGTTGTCTCACCTCACTATCAGATGAGTATACTCATCAACATATTCTTGTAATGTGAGGAATATGTAACATATGTGCATATGAATTCTTGATGTGAAACGACATTTATATCACAATGATGTTGAATATATTAGGATTCATCATTCTTTATTATTTCTTGGCTGAAATCGAGATGTGACATGAATCGAGTGTTTCAGTCGAAGTGAAACACCTGATACTTCTCAAACTTTACATGTTCGATCCGAAAGGGACCACTGTAGCTGGTTCTATATAACAGCAGAAATTTTTTTTAAATGAGTTGTCGGATATAAGGTTCCAGTCCAATCCCAACAGCCGGGATAACTCACCGTCCGATCAAATGAGAAGTTTAATTTTCTAAGTGGTTGATACAATTGCTAGTCTTCTTGAGTTGATGAAATGACAAAGCGGAAATATATTTTCATGTGCCATATTTCTTACTACATATTTCAGGTTGGTCTGACAACCTATCGATTTTTTAGAGCATTTTTTAACCAAAAGCGATTCGGTAATACAAGCATTCTATACTATCCATTTTCTTGTTTTAAATACAGCCTCATCCCTAGTCACATCACACTCGAGAATGTCTACCAGCATAGGCCAAATCTGGGACTAGGATACAAGACTACTAGCAGAGACGTGTGCAACCGATCAAGCTGAACCAAACAACCTTCTTACCTACAACATATCATTCAGTTCCTTACCATTGTTATGTTGAATATATTGATGAGAGATCTCAATGTTAACTATATTGTATTGATGTTTCATAATTAATAATTTCGAAATAACAGAGGAGTTTTTCTAGAAATTACTTACGTTTTACGAAATTTGTAGCAATAATCCAGTGTTTTGAGAATTCTCTCTAAATTATGTAACATTGTAAAGAGAATGACTTCATTTTCCATAAATTGTCTACTATTTTCCTCAAGTAATTAAGAATGCTTATAATAGATAAGTACAGTTCCTAGGTCCGTACAATGGAAATTAGTCTATGCCTTTGGGTACTTGTCGTGATATTATTTTGAACTTGTAAATTCTCGGCAATATTTTACGCTAATCTGATCGAGACGCTTCTTTATCGCACTTAGTTTACCTCGCTTGGAGGTAAACTAAGTACGAAAAATGATTGGTTAAATGGTTGCTGTTCACTTGGTCACCCGTCCTCTTTGGTTAAATGGTTCAATCAATGCTCTCTCAAAGTAGGTTTAAACAAAAAGCATTCTAAAAGGTTCCTTTGGCATATCTCTCGCGGATGAATTGCATTTTAATCGGCACATTCCGTGATGTTATTCGAGGAGAAATTGAAAATGTTGTATTTAGTTACTATGTGGTTACTACTCTCAAAGTTAATCCTTGCACGTCTCTTGCAGATTATCCTTCTAGATGACTGGCTCATCCCAAGCGTGATGCCACACTGAAGAATGCAGCAATGCCATTCCAGAACCGAGTGTGTACGTAGTGCCCACGGGTCAAGACACTCGGTAAAACGTACTACTCTTTTGAGATGAAATCGATATGCTGGGGAAATAAAAGCAAACCTGTTCCCTATTATAGAATAGTTGTCTCTCCTGATGTTGCGGGTCATGTGAGTCTACAAGATTTCAAATCTCAATTCCAGGTAGATTCGAGTTCATACCGCAGATTGGGTCAAATTTCTGGTGGTGGAGGCTCAGCTCCAGCTGTAGAAGAAAATTGCTGCTAGCGATCTGCGAACGGTGGAATCTGTTAGGCAGATAGAACTGATGCAGTTTTTCAGATCATAGATGCCCTTTGGTCTCAATCAGTCTCCGACTTTCTACACTAGGCGATGAAAAGACGAATGCTCGATACAGAATACAGGTCCAGTAACACACAACGCCACGACCAAACTTCTACAGTGGTCACAACAAAAGACAGTCGGCCCGATCGATGTTCTCATGTTCAGAGATGATCCGCTTCCTGCACCGACGTCAAAAATTACTCTCACACAGTCCAGGCAGCCAAAACTTTTTCCTCGCAGCCCTTCGAACGAGTAATACTCACCTCGAACATTGCGATCTCATGACTCGGATAATGGCTTCACGTAAAGTACGTGCTTCGAGTGAAGCCGTCGGGGAAGCCATGGAACGATCACTTACAGTCAGCTGGGATGGGAGCATTTGTATGCAGACGGAGACAGTTTTTCTTCAGCATGGTGCTTTTCTTATCAGCTCCAATCGCTTCGCTCTAACACGAGTAGACACTGAGTCGACCTCGTAAACTGGGTTCGAAGAGGCGGGCTAGTTCCATGAATAATTTTGCAGCCTAAAAAATTTCATTACTAAAATTTCTGATTGAAGGCTTTGCAACAGGAATTTGGCAGAGAGCAGCCTAATACCACTGTAAGCATGTCACATCGCATTATTTTGTCCGAGAGGATGAAGGTTTTACCGAAACAGCCGGCGTACCTGTTTCCGACACTAACCAATAATATTAGCTTGACTGCAATGATTTATGTGGTTGGCGAGACTGATACCATGATTGATCAAAACTTATAAACCAACCAATGGATCCGTGGCATCCCTCACTCTCCACAACCTTCGTCGAGTCTTCTGGAACGATGAGTCAAATCCTGACGTGTTTCGTGACATCGCTGGTGATTTTTCATTGAAGGCTGATTATTTTCATTTGGTCGGCCTTCGTCTAACTCCATGAACATCTCACCTAACAGTCAGTCGGGAATGGACGTCGCTATAAGAGCACCTTGTCTGAGGAAGAAAGCATCTCTTGCCATCTTTTCATTCTTCGCTGAGCTTTGTACCCGATCGTGTACGTTCTGACTCTGACTTCCAGTTTTTGAAGTCCTTGATCGCCTGGAAGAATTTATTTCTTGAGGATTCCTCGTGCCAACTCGCAGGTGCCATGTTCGCAGCGAAATGGATGCAACCATTGTTGCATGCGAGGTGGATTCTGAAACTCTTCTGAAAATTAGCACGACTTGATAGCAGAGGGGATCTATTTCGGAATCTGGGCTCGTCTGCCATGGCAGGCATGAAGATCGGACGACTGTCCTGGGAGTTACAGGCTGTGATATTGATCTTTAGTCTCGGTGTCTCAGCAGCTGCTGCTGCTGCTGGTGTGAGACGTGTGGACGTGCACACGCATTTTGTGCCCCCTTTCTACCGCGAAATTATCACGGCCAGGAACCTGACCTCCGGAGGTACTCAAGTTCCAGAGTGGAATGAAACCACGCACCTGGGAATTATGGCAAAATACAACGTGGAGACGTCCATCCTTTCCATCTCTCCACCCAGTGTTACGTTTTTCAGTCACGACGAAGCAGCTGAGAGGAGAAGCTTGGCCAGGAGTTTGAACGAATACGCGTACAACCTGTCGCTAAGACATCCCGGAAAGTTCCAGTTTGCAGCAACGCTCCCTTTGCCAGATGTAGAAGGTGCGATGGCAGAGGCGGTGTATGCCCTCGACTCTCTCGATGCAGCTGCAATTTTACTGCTCGGAAACTCCAACGGCATGTACCTCGGGAATCCTAAATTGGACCCCCTCATGGAAGTTATCAACGCAAGAAACGCCGTCGTGCTTCTACATCCGAACGTTCTGCCCGGAGGTCAGGACCCGAAATCCATCTCTTCTTATACAAATGCTGCAATCTATTCTTTCATATGCACGATCTCCTTCTTCTATTTCTTCTTTAAAGCCAAGAGAATGAAGCGTTCACATTATCGTGAGATTCAGAAGTTATGTAGGCTAAGGATGAATCCCTTTCACTTGTAAATGAAGACAATGGGTTTCTTCAAACCCCTTGTATACTATTCACATCTCACTCGTTGCCTTGCTTGCGGTTACGCAGTCTGATTCAACCAAGTTCAGGTCATTGTCAACAGTTCATTGCAGTGATGAGTGTTGTGCGGAGAAAAATATGCATTTGCACCTAGATTTTGGAAGAAAAATACGCTACGTTACTCCAATCATAAGAGGTTGCAGAAATTTTCAAACTACTATTAAAGCTATAAAATATTTATAGCTTTAGTAGCACGGGGCTGTGGCTTGACCCTCCTGAGTACGATTTCATTCCGGCGATATTTGTAGTGTGAAGAAAATTGTGAAGTTGTACCAAAGGTGAAATAGGATCTGACATTAGAATGCTTGGTGTCTGCAGATCCAGATGAGACGGGCCTACCGTCTGCTGTGCTGGACTTTCTGCTGGACACAACAAGAGCTGCGACGAATCTGGTTGTTAAAAATGTGACAAGAAAGTACCCAAATATCAAATACGTTCTTAGTCACTCCGGTGGTTTCATGCCCTATGCTTCTGGAAGGATGAGTCTGCTGTTCAGTGAGATTATGCCCAACACAACTCCAGACGACTTTATCAGATTGTTAAAAAATTTCTACGTAGATTTCGGGTACGTCGGCAAGTCTACAATTCCCAGCGCTCTTGACTTTGTGCATCATGACCAGATTGTGTTCGGTTCCGATTGGCCTGCTCAACCGAAGGGACTGGAGTATGTCTCAGGTGTTCTGGATTCTGCCCTGAAGAATGGAAAGTTGAAGTACGACATTAATTACGGAAATGCTGCCAAGCTTTTCAAACTCTCATGATAATGTTCTCCAGTCGTCAGTTTCGTCAGAAAGTAACAGAGTACAATATTTCTCACTCACCTACCTTCTCTTCTCCGACTGACCAGCTCACCTTCGAGTCAACAAATTGACCATCGACCAAATTCCTTCGAAGGCTCTCCTGCGTCGATCGTATGATCAAAATACAAGTTTCAAGACCTACTCTTCTACAATTCAATTTTGACTCCATATATTGGACGTACAAACTCTACTTGTTTCAAATGGTGGCTTGAAATTATGTCGCCGTCTTCCTTCCTGCCATCCTCAAACTCAAGTCCTTGACAATCTTACTCGTCCTCCCTTCAAATGGCTATGTCATCGGCAAGGATAAACTCGAACACTCTTTCAATTATGCAAATTCCTGAGGCCGTAATGGTCATCCACGTCTTTCTACCGGGGGTTTCGATTTCACACTGGCTTCATCACACCTCGGAGCAGCAGCCGTGGTGTGTGATGAGAATGTGAATCCGGTTGGTTAGGAAATGGATGGAAACCTTGCAATACTGGGATGTAACAGCTCTAAAATCTCCAGTGTAGGACATGTTTCAGAACATCGTATTGCAGTTTGAGGTGACCACGTGGCCTCTTCTCGTTCCAAGTCTCCTGCACCGCTCTAGAGGAAACCAGAATTTTGTTCTCCTCGATGAGAGACCTCGAGAGTTCCCCCTTCTAGATCTGAGCTGAGCAAGAGCTGTACAATCTCGTTGAACCACTTCGCTTTAACTAATGTTTGACTTTATGAGGTTCACCTGTCCACTGCAGCCGCCGCTGCCTCACTTTAAAATTGTACTAAAAACTTGCTGCGAGAAAAAGTTTCTTCCAACTCTCATCGTGCAGCAGCTTTCAACCGTCCAAATTCCCTGCTCGAATTATGCCGTACCTTGAGAAAAGCCTTCTCTTCAGTCGATGCAGTCGAAGCCATCTATCACTCGATAGGTGGCTTTTTCCATCCAATGGTACGCAATCTCGGCACATGCCATCCATCTGATCTGAACTCCTCTACCTGAACGTTCCCATTCGACATCCGATGCGTCAATGGTGCACCATGCCTACTGGATACACAAACGACTGTCCACCCTATGAGAAACCATCAACATGATGACCTTACACGAGACGAGAGTTGGAGCAATGAGTTCCAGACTCAAACACATCAAATGTGTTTTTGTTGCAACTGCAATAATGAGAAGCCAAGTTCCAAAGGGACATGGCAGAGAAGACACAAGATGGTCACAATCAGAAGAGACAGGACTGTTCCGCTTGAGCTTTCGCATCTTCTATCTAGTTGGAGAAATTTCGCCAAGCTTACCACGCAAGCTTTGCTGCTCAAGTAGATATGGTAAACGTATACTGACGGCTGATTCCTTTTTGTCTGGAGTTGATTCTCGCAGTATGAGACTGTAACGAAATACCTGCCAGTAGACAGAGTAGGAAATTAATTCACAGAGCAGATACACCAGCACCTCGTCGGTAGTCATCACGGAATTTTGCTGGGTACAGGAGGTTGCTAACACATTTGACCCAATGATCTTGTGTCAGTGGGTTCATTGCTTCCTCGATCACTAAGAAAGGGACATGCGAGTTGCAGTGAGTCAAAACTTATTTCCTGCCGGTCTGTTGGCGGTCATCCAGTTCTCGAGTTTTAGGTAGACCCAGGAGTCGACGATCTTTTTCCTTTGTGTACATTTTCTCGCAGTACTGCAAGTGATCGATCGATCTCATTCAACGACGTTGGAGAATGTCCTGTGCATGACTGTCTTTCCTTTCCTCTCGTGCTCATAAAATATGGTCTCAGCACCAAAATGCCCTCGACTCGTTGCAGAAACATCTACAAAGTCGTCTGATGCATGCATGAGCTGTGGCTGATTCACAGTTCGGAGTAAGGTATCACTTCCTGGGCTGTTTGCACACTCGGGACCCTCGAAGGTTTGCTGTACTGGTTCCTGCTTCCTGGAAGAATGAAAGGATTTCTGTCCAGCTGTCAAAACTTCTTGCGTTGATGTGCACTTCAATCCTCTTCGGGCCTTCTCGTGCAACCAGTCCGACAATTGAATCGTTCCAGCTCATCCCATCTCCTCCCATCGACGGAACGCAAGAGTTGTTACATTCCAACCATCACCTGATGCTCTCTGCAAGTTGTGCTATGGTAGTTGTGGTTGTGTGATTGGTCGACAAGAGTTAAGCCAAGGTCGATGGTCGATCCTCACCGACAGGTCACGAAGATCCTCACCGACAGGAAGATGTACAGCCTCGGATGGTCGAGCATGAAGGTCGATTCAGTCACGGGTTTCGCGGCCTTCCGGGATGGCAATCAGCCTCGTTGCTGTGCTGAGAACCGACGGTAAAAATGGAAAAATTAAGCCAAAAGAAATTATCATGTGACCATGAGATGTCTTCCATCTACTCGCACTGCAACGCTCGATATTTTAATACATCGACCTCCCTCAGCTCATCGCCTGGATGCCGTCGCACAATAACCACTCCAGCTGTGAAATGGGTCACAGTTCACGTCAGAAAAATAACGCAAGGCTGCTAAGGGACGGTCCTGCTCTTTCGTCTCCAGCACATAAACCTGCTCTGCTCATCTTCCACTCCTATCCCGAAACGCTCGCCCGTCACTCTCACCTGCTGCTGCTGAACCGCACTTGAAGTCTTGGCAGTTAACAGGGACTCTAATAATGAACATATACCTGTTGCTGCTGGTGGAGATGCATAGCCCCGAATTTTTCAAAACCCAAGCATCAGTTCCTACAAATGCGTCGTGACAGCTTGGCAAGGACATCCCTGCGGGTCCCAGAGCAGAGACAGAAGCCACACAATCCGATTCAATGTACTGACTCTTAGCAAAAATTAAACCATGAAAACCGAACACTCCAAAGGGGCAATCGGAAGCTGAACTCGGAAGCTGAAATCTCTCAGACCATCACCGACTCCATCGTGAAGATGGTCCTTGTGATGAAGAATTAGTACCCCTGTTCTGTCCACATCATGACCCTCTCCCTCATAAGGTCGAGTCCTTTGCCTTTTCCTTAATTATTTTCTGTGTCGTATAAATCAGTCGTGAGTGTCGGCCGGCGGGTGCCATACACGACTTCGGATGCTGACATTTGATTTTCCGGTCGGAAGTGATGAACCATCCATGCAAGCGGTCGTTAAGCGCCTTTGTGCAATGTCCGATCAATATAAAGTGTTATAACTGGACTTTCGGGGGGTGGGCGGCTGAAGTCCAGTGCATGCTAGCGACTCCAGAGATTGGAGGAACGAATAGGCGACTGGAGCTTGCCAAGCCGATTTCTCGGCACCACGCGTACGATTCGGGGATGGCAGCTGGCGGTGGTGGTGGAAGATTGTTTGGGGCTGGCTGCCTCAATTGGTAAAGCTCGCTGCTTTGCCGAGTCCCCGATATTCCAGTTTGCAGCTCCACCACGCGGCGAAGTCCTACACGCCTCGACACTTGGCGCCTGGCTTGCGTCCTGTCTTCCTTTCTCGTCACTACATAGACGGACCTGCTCGTCGTATGCCTATATTCGCCTCACATATAAATTGCTGAACAACATCGCACAATCTCAGGAGTTCAGTCCAGCATTTGTGAGATTTTGGAAGGAAGTACATTCTCGCTTCCTCGGTGGCAGGCAGCAAGCCAGCAACTCGATCGCCAGCCAACATGAAGGGTACTCTGGCAAACATGAAGGAGAAAGTTCACAATGCCACCGCTAAGGCCGAGCTGAAGATAGAGACAGCCACTGAGAAGGTGAGTGTTTATGTTCGGGTGTTTATGTTGCGGGTTCAGCTCGTGTCTGTAGGAATTGACATAGTTCAACTGATAGTAGTCTAAAAGCTGATAAACCAACCAGTTGCAGCAGTCATTTCAATGCCTCGGCTCAGTGTATGTCATGGATGCATTTAGACAATTTTAGTTGAAAAGATCAGGCCATGTAATTTTCAAGGAGCATAGCTAGGAGGTTCAAGTGACATTTCTTTTCTGTCGAGGCTCGATTCTGTTGTGAAGAGCTGCTTGTTTGCATGTTACAGCTCCGGACGAATTCTAGGCACTGGATTTCTGAGTTGAGATTGCTGTTCATTCCTGGCTGGATGAAACAGACGGACAAGCTGATGGCTGACGACAAGGCTGGGAAGGAGGAAGCGCACGCCATCAAGCACGAAAAAGACGAGCATGCTTACGGACTGCACAGAAGAAGGACGCACAACCACGGCGAGAAGGTGCGGTACAAGCAGGTAGCTCACGACACAACCATGGAAGATGCTCTATTGCCTCACAAGAGCAATCCTTACGTGCAGATTCCGGTGGAAACCGCGCCAACCGAAATTCCTCATCCTCACCTCACCCACGAGCAAATCACAAATAACGCAGGCTTCCCGGAGGATCTTCCCACCCAGGGCCCGGACTCGGTTCTGCCCCATGACCCCGAGCCAGAGCAAACGAACGCCAATGGGTTCGGAGAGCTTCACGAAGATCACATGACACATCCCGAGGCGTTCCAACTGGACGAATCTCATTTCCATATGAACGTCGGCTTCCCTGATGATCAGCCTGACCAAGGTGCCAACTGCAAGTATTTTTAGAACCTAATCCAGTAAATCAACCTTCACAGTGTTCACGTCCGGACATAGACACCCTGACGAGGTTTTTGTTTGGCCTCTTCGTTAGATGAGAGTTATTGGAGGTTGTGTTTTTTGTAGCATGTTTTTATGTACATACATTTATTCCAAAGCATCACTGTCGCCAACTGCCTTATGACAGTCACAGTGGTCTCCATTGATTTACTTGTTTCCAGAAGCTGAATCTGGGAATAAAAAATTCCAGTCACTTACGCCCTCTCGCTCGCTTTTCACGTTGACAGTACTGAGGAGTGCATGCATATGAAGAATCCTGCATTTATGGGGAATTCTGATTCAGAAACTTTTATCAAATTTCACGTTCGCCACCACTGGACTGAAGTTTTATCTTCCACTCTACTTTCCTATCCAAAAATATTCAGAAAATGCCAGAAGTTTCTGGCTGAATGAGCTACAGACGGCACACATACCGCTGTACTAAAAGCAAGTGACAATAGTAAATTGAGCCGTCACGGATCCACATTCACCTGTTTGTACCATGATATGGTGGAAGGTACTGATGATTACGTCTCTGTTTTTTCCAGCCTCATGCAAGCGGTCGATGAGAATGCGTGTGTCGGCACCATTCATCGCTTGTTTAGTTTATCTGAGCTACAGGGTGGCATGATGGGTTATATTACATCTTTCATGTCCCTGAACCCTGGGGTTGAAATCACCGTGAGAGGCAAAGGAAAAGTTTTGAGCCGAAGTTACTACCTCCGTTCGACCAACCAGGAGATCCGTAAAATTGTCCAACTCGTCGATTCTGTCACTTCTATCACCGACTTGCTCGGAAAGTAAGCACGGACTGTCAAGGACTGACAACCAACCTCAATCATTAGGATGCAGCAATTAATTCCCCTCAGTTTTTCTGATAATACATAACCACCCATTTTGGTTTGCGGACATTCCACTCGTTTGGTCATCTCGACCACCAGTGAAATCGTTTCCAAGTGGACCAGCAAAACTGGATTTATCACCCAGGCAAGCAGCAGAATCTGCTTCCAGAGAACTAACGGTTTCAACCCCTGCATAACACTAAATCCGTTCTTATCTTGAGATCGTTCACTACAGCAATCCGTAGTTAGATGATGCTCCTAAAACCCATTTGATGTAATTGTGAGCATATATGTCATGTTTAGTAGAACATAATAAATCTCACTATAATAGTAAAGCCCATGTAGGTGAGAAGGGGAACATGGCGTGAAACTAATAACGCTAAGCCATGCTAAGCCGTGCTCCGAGCCAATGATGATATTATTAGCCCCTATATTCTACACCTAATAATCATAACAATCAACCATGATTAATAATATGTAATAAAATACAGACTATATTATCAGTTTGATTTCACTCATGGGTTAAAGCACGATGGATCATACGGTATGATCCATACCCATCCTCTTTGCTCAGTTGCATGGTTCCCGAAGAGCACACAACCCAGATACCGCAGTTGCTCACATCAGGAGCAGATAATTACACTCCCAAACGCGCATGTGAAGAAAGTGGATTGTCATGAGAAAGTCTGTCCATTCTTTATTAAAGAAATACCCACGGCCCAAAGGAAATGGAAGCCCACTGTGGGCAATCAGGCAGGCAGGTAGGCTAGCAACACTCTCGAAGCAGACGCACAGAGAGGCTTGAAGACCTCACATCCGAGCTGCTGCACATCACAACATTACCCTGTACACTACTGAACTCAACTGAGCTGAGCTGAACTGAACGAGCAGAAAGATTTTCAAGATTTGATCTGCATGAACTCTGCGCCGTACGGCTCAAGGAAGGGGAGGAGGGGAGGGGAGAGGAGAGAGCAGCTCGGAAGGACCGATTCCGTCTGACATGGAAGAAGAGGTTCGAGGAATCAAAAGCAAGCGAGTTTTGTGTGGGGAGAAAGGCTTGAGAAGCATTGGCACCAGCACTCGTGGCAGGCAAGGAAGAGGGCGATGGTGGGCCCACGAAGAGTCCCGCCGGCGGGTTGCAGATCCGAAGCCGGGCCGGGCAGGAGTCGCCCTACTATGAATTCCAGTGGACCGTGTACCACGGTAGAAAGGGCGGACCGCAGTTCGTCAGGTGCCGGGTCCAACCTTCCCTCCGCTTCCCGTCTCTTCCTTCCTCTGGCTTCGCTCGTTGGCTTCAGTGGCTCGCTTGTCCCGCGACGACGACGACGAGCTGCCGCTGCTGCTCTGCGTCTGTCTCATTACCCAGAACCAAAAGCTCTCTCTGCTCGTGCCTTTCTCGTGACGGACGCCCTGGGGATTCTGCGTTGACCGCGATCCATGAGCCCAAAAGTTCTCCTCGCCTTTTCCAGGATTCTATGATGTGAGCGCTCGCTCGCTCACGAGAGAGAGAGAGAGAGTGAGAGTTTGTGTGAGAGTGAGTGTGTGTGTAGGAGAGAGAGAGAGAGAGAGAGAGAGAGAGAGGAGGGATTTCCAGTGATTCGGGAGAGAACCGTGCAAGAGGAAGAGCAATTTTTTTTCTCGATTTTTGTTGATTGGTCGGTTTGTTCGGAAAAGGACCCCCGGAAACGAAGACAGAGTGTACGGGGGGCTGTGAAAATTAAAGCGTCTGGCTGGAGGATTTGTCGGTTGGCTTTCCGGACGATCGGAATTGAGCTGCGAGGATTGATCGACAAGTGATCGGGGGATCGGTAGCCAGACCTATTGCTTTTGAGCGGAGGAAGAGGAGGACGAGGATCTGCCATGGCAGGGGACGAGGCTGCTTCCAAAGCGGCAACCTCAATTCACAGGTCGCCGTCCAGACCCCAGCTCGATTTGAGCGGGGCGACGATACAAGGCTCCACCGAGGACAAAAATCCCGCAATTGTTCTGCCGAACCAGAGTGATGAACTCAGCCATTTCGCAATTGATATTGGTGGTGGGTGTTTTCTTCCTCTTCTTTGCTTTCCTGTCAATTTGGTCGACGGATTCTCGATTCGGCCTCGTGCAATCTCGATTGCTCTCGGCCGGCTGCTCGGTCGACTCGGTCAGCTGTAGTCGGGATTGGTGCCGAGCGCTTGACGTGGTTGGAGATGTTTTGCAGGGTCACTAGTGAAGCTCGTCTACTTTTCTCGGCAAACGGAACCTGCTGTCTCTTGCGGGTCGCCTCCTCGGAAGGGCGGAGGCGGACAAGATCGACAGAAGGAGGCGTACTATGAAGGGTGGCGGAGGCATCCAATTCTTGGTGGCCGACTGCACTTCGTGAAGTTCGAAACTTCAAAGCTCAATGACTGTTTGGCCTTCATCCAGTCGAAAAAACTGCACTGCTCCAATCCCTCCTTGGGTACGAGGCTTCACAGCAACTCCGGAGGTCGTTGTGCTTGCCTTTCGTCGCACGCTTTCTCGTACATCTCTCTACGTCCTTGAAAAGCTCACAGCATGTATCATTCAGTTTTTTCATTCACTGCTATCAAGCGATGGACTTGTAATGAAAATTGCAGGCATTCCTTTCAAGCAGTGTACATGCTCACAATCATCCTCATTATGCACAGAGCGGGATATTTCTCTCCCTCAGGTCTACTAGACTATTCTGGATGTCGGTGAAATTATTTTTATTATAAGTCTCAGTTCATTTCTCAAACTTTTGTTGCGGGTTATCCTGATTGCAGATTTGAGCGGCTTGGATGGATTGGCAGCTAGTAACGGATCTGCGGAAGAAGCCACCGTCAAGGTAGTATAGCAACTGAAATTTCCACTCACTTGTTTACCACTCCCACTTGGGCTAGTTCACAGAGAAGTCAACTAAGCAATTGATTCGTGGATGCTTTGGAATGTTTTGTTTCAATTGAGTACAGACCTGCATTTTCTCGTGTGATTGGTCTCTCGTTTTCGTCCCGTTCTCTCTCCAACTATTTCGACATTGTTGATAGAGTACGGAGACAAGATCTCCTGATAACATTTGTCGAGGAAAAAAATTCTCCAAACCTGTCTTCCTCTCAAAGGAAAATTTCCGCACTTTCGGACTTGAGGCGTTTAGTTTTTGATCTAGCGATTGTAATGCTCTATCATAATGCCGTATTGACATCTGTAGATTACCCTTTGATTTTCTGCAAGGCCACAGGTGGTGGAGCCTTCAAGTTTGCAGACGTTTTCAAGGAACGACTAGGCGTAACCTTTGACAAGGAGGATGAGATGGATTGCTTGGTCTCTGGAGCGAATTTTTTGTTGCGAGTAAGATTTTCGAAATGTCCTTTAAGTACGATGATTGTGCGTTGACTCTGTTAGCCTCCTCGATCATCCTTCTCTTGGTCTCAATTATTCAACTGACAGTTGATATATCGAACTAGAGTACTTGAGCTCCGCTGTCGCAGTTTATTTCTCATGAGCTTCAGTTAAAACATTCCTGAGATTTTGGGCCGTAATTAGATAGCCCGTCCTTTTTATTTTACGACCTTTTGCTTCAGTGCCTACGGACCAAGAGATGGCATTGATTCTTTCAAAAGTTAAACACTTTCCACAAATACCCAGGAAGAGGCAAGATGATGAGCATACAATTTGGCATATACAGGCTATACGATATGAAGCTTTTACGCACTTGGAGGGACAAAAGCAGTTCGTGCAGATGGACCGAAATGATTTATTCCCTTACCTTTTGGTCAATATCGGTTCCGGCGTTAGTATGATCAAGGTATTGCTGGCTTGGTGCAATTCGTTTCGACTGTATAGGTCGTATGTTTGAAGATTTGCGATAGTTTTCTCCACAGCAGCTCAAGGATTTCAAACTTTACAAGTCTTGGTGATCTCATAGTCGATGGATTCGGCATGGGCTGGATGAAGTGCTGCAGGTAGATGGAGATGGTGTCTATCAAAGAGTGAGCGGAACGAATGTGGGTGGTGGTACTTTCTGGGGGCTCGGCCGGCTTCTGATGAAGTGCAAGACGTAAGTCAAGTGTTCTTGAAGCCTTTCCTGCTTTACTCTCCAGGAACCTCCTCTAAGTAAGCTGATTTCGTTTTTTCTTTCACATTTCTGATCTCAGATTTGATGAAATATTGGAGTTGAGCCAGGGAGGGGACAACAGCTCCGTAGATATGCTCGTTGGAGACATCTATGGGGGTCTTGATTACAACAAGGTAGAATTACTTAAAGTTGATGGTCTTGGAAGACCTAGGTGTCCAGAATCGTTGAGGACTGTGACAGAGTCAATTTGAAGCTGTCCATCCACTTTGTTGTTTCGAGTAGATGTTATATGTAAATGATCGTCCCGTTGCTTCGTATCAAAGAGGTAATTTGTTATGCCATATCAGCATTTATTTGCTGATCTTGGCAGTAGAAAAAATAATCCCTGCGAAATTCATCTGTAAGTGATTTGTCAGCATTGGGTTGTTGTATGCTATGAAGTTTAAATTTTTCAAATCCTTCAGAAGCTCAAGAAAAAGAAAGGATGTACGGTCCGGACTGTTTCAGGACACTGATATGTAGAGTTTATGGTGCAGATTGGACTCTCCGCCTCAACCATCGCGTCAAGTTTCGGCAAGGTGATCTCGGGGGACAAGGACCTCTCCGAATACAGACGAGAAGATCTTGCTCTTTCTCTTCTTCGGATGATCTCATACAACATTGGACAGGTTATGATTTATCTATTAAGAATGCTGTTCAAAACAGCAAGGAATCCTTAAATTGCAAATATATTTGTTGTATGTTTCCATGTCTTTTTTTTTAAGTCTCGGAGAATACGGTCACAGCCCTCAATTTGCATCGGTTGAAATCTGTTTTCAGTACTCTCTCTATCATTTTGTGGGGCAGTAGAATTATGTCGACTAGAATTAGACTGTCGGTTATTTTCTAAACTCGCCCACGTGTGTATACCTCTGCAACAGATCGCATACTTGAATGCTCTTCAGTATGGGCTGAAGCGCATATTTTTTGGGGGATTTTTCATTCGCGGTCATGCCTACACAATGGACACAATATCCTTCGCCATCAATTTCTGGTATGATATTCATGTGATCTTGTCGTATGTCGACTATGGTTGAAGGTTTCAGATGTAGTATCCTTACTACATATTATAATGTATATACATATATATATCGATAATATGTAGTATTACAACATATTATAATATAAACATTGTAATATACATATTATTATATGGTCAGATTGGAGCTTTTTCAAATGTACTTGTCAGCATTATCCCGTCATGGTGTGAAGACCATATAGGCCATGCTCTAATCCGGCCGGTATTTTGTAACAAATTGGCCCTTGGCTTTGATACTTTTCTGAAGAGCGTAGATCCCATGTCCTAGCTGAGCTGTGCTGTGTATCGTAATAAAGCCAGAAATCCTTGGGCATATTGGAGGTGATTGCAACTGCTTGTTACTATTTATGACGCATAATATTTGCTTGTATATCGCTACTTGTAATTACTTCTAGCTGCGCTGAAAAACGTTAGGAGACATAGTGCAAAGGCTAATAATTATCCTCAGCTTCACGCCCAGAAGTGTAATTGATGTATGCATCCCAGCCATGTGGTTCTTGAGATTTTTAGATGACGGAACATCTCATTCGTTTCATACGCAGGTCTAAAGGAGAAGCTCAAGCTATGTTTTTACGACACGAAGGATATTTAGGTGCACTTGGAGCATTCTTGAGCTATGACAAACATGGACTCACAACTTTGACCTCTCATCAACTTGTCGAGCGATTTCCAATGGGTGCTCCTTATGCAGGAGGAGAGATACATGGTCCTCCCATCCGAGACCTTAATGAGAAGGTGGAAGTTTGTCAGCTATGCCTGACTACTGTGTAACTTTTCTCCATTGTGATTCCTAGCATACAGTAGAAAAGCCTATTTGTTCTCGTTACAGCTCCGTAATAAAAGGTCTTCAACATTGAAGGAAACTTTCTCTTTAGTCGTGTATCGAATTTACGGACGGAACCATAATGCATATTGCAGATTACCTGGATGGACAAATTCATAAGGAAAGGAATTGAAATCACTGCACCCACACCAACAGCAGTCCCTACGACTACAGGGGTTGGTGGATTCGAACGCCCACTTTCACGAGCTCTGTCGTTACGCTCAGATTCGAGTGCGGCTCTTAATGTAGGAGTGCTGCACTTCGTTCCATCGCTGGAAGCCTTCCCTCTCCTTGCTGATCCAGACAAGTGAGTAACACATACATATTAGAGACAGGAGGGTGACTTGAAAATTGATCACCTCAATGGAGCTTCATAGTGCCAGAGGGTCAGAACTTTGAAAAGCTGCATCTCATTTGTTGTGTTTATCTATTGGCAATAGTCGGTTCTACTTATCAAGTGCAGCTTGATCAGTGTATATAGATTCTTGAGCTCCTTGCGGAGGTTTTTAAACTCCATTGTTGAAGTTTAACGAAATGTAATTTTTTTCTCTTGTTTCAGATATGAACCAAATACTGTGGACCTCAGTGACCCACTTGAGAGAGAGTAAGTCAAGTTTCGCATATTTTTTTGTCTCTGAAACAATGGAATAGATAATGCATAAGCTTGACATACGGCTTGATATGAGGAACGAAGAACATGATCTTAGTATGATTTGTATGGTCCTCAAATGAAGACATGATATGTATTCAATAGTGCTAGCAATGATTTCAATGTAGATCTCTGATCATGTCACTGACTTGGAAATGTCACTGACTTTGTCACAGGTACTGGTTCAACATTCTCTCGAACCATATGCCAGATCTGGTTGAGAAAGTAAGCTACTTGTTATTCTCGTGACTCATGTGAAAACCACACGGTCCATACTACATTTGTTCCTGAAATTACCTCTCACGTAGACCTGCGTTTATATTTGAACTCTAAAGCCTCTCTTGCACATGCTAAATTGCTTCCTTATATACTTTACAACCTAAGTTCATATGTATGGGTCTACTCTTAACGCAGGTTGTTATCTTTGTGTGTCACTATCGAATTATACTTGAACGGCTTTCTTGGTTTTTCGCCTACTTGATGTTCTCTACCACCTCTCACTCAATATTCTAACCCTTTTGAGTTCAATAATAATAGGCTGTTGCCAGTGAGGGTGCAACGAATGATGCAAAGAGAAGAGGAGATGCATTCGCCCAAGCTTTTCGCGCACATTTGGCAAGGTAGGTAACATGCTATCGTTGAACATTCAAGTTATCGATGTCGGAGCATCTTAAGGTATGTGTAGAAATAGTCAGTTTATTGGAATGCAGTTAAAATTGTTATACCTAACTACAACCAACTTGGTTTAGAATGTTGTTTAGACGCAAAGTGTTATCTCTCTATGAACCTTGATTTTCCTCTCTTTTATTCAAGTGGCTACTTGCAACAGATAATTCAATTTCCATATCACGTCGGGTGGTTTCCAGTGTCTGCTTTCTTATGTATCATTGCATTTGGCCAGACTTAGGGAGGAGCCCGCTGCCTACGGAAAATTAGGTCTGGCAAATCTGCTTGAAATGAGGGAAGAATGTCTACGAGAGTTTCACTTTACAGATGCTTATCGAGCTATTAAACAGAGGTGGATCGTCAACCCTTGTCCTTGTTTTTCTGCTCACTTGATGTGATTGCTATCTCCTTAAAAAAACTCCATGAACTTCGAGTATTATATTTTGTTGGCACAGTTCAGGAAAGGGATTGTTTACGAATGACAGTATTGGGAAATAAAGAACTAAGAACATGTTGGATTGGGAGTGCAGAGAAAACGAAGCATCTTTGGCCGTTTTGCCTGATCTATTATCGGATCTAGACACGATGACGCCGGTATGCATACTTCTTCTTAGCCTAAAAAGCTTTAAAATTTAATCTGGATGTATATAGAGCTGAGGTTTTTATCTATTACCTTTTATCTGAACCAAGATTTGAATGATAAATCACATAACTGGCGACGTTGACTCTCTTCTTTCCCTGGGCTCAAGCAGTAAAAGTGCTTGTAAGCCATGCAAAATCTGAAGTCCTTAAGTGAAAGCATTTCTTAGTTATCTTAATCACGTTGTAGTTCTCGCTGGAGGAGTCTATTCTTTGGAGAGCTTCACTCACACACTCGGTTTCTTTATGTGCAGAGTGATAGGATACTAGCACTTATCGAAGGAGTTTTAGCTGCCAACATATTCGATTGGGGATCCAAGGCATGCGTGGAATTATATCGTAGTGGTACCATCATGGAGATCTATAGAATGAGTCGAGACAAGATGCAGCGACCCTGGCGGGTACAACCTTCTCCATTCCCTCTTCCATCAAAGTGGTGTTCAATCCAATTAATATGCCATTTGGAATTTTGTTGGGTAACACAGTTGTCGGTATTGAGTGATTCCTAGTTTGACCTCTCCATCTTGTCAATCTGTACAGGTAGATGACTTTGATTTGTTCAGAAAGAGATGGATTGGTGAGGAAGGTGCTACCACACCACCAAAACCACACAGGAGAGCTCTTTTCTTTGTTGACAATTCTGGTGCTGACATCGTGCTTGGGGTTCTCACTTTTGCGAGAGAACTCTTGAGACGTGGAACAGAGGTATATTTCGATGTCGTCAGTTCGAAATTTTGTTCGTATCATCCAAAATTCGTTATTTATAGGCTAAACTAGAGGGCTCTTTTCAATTTCCCATTTCAAACAATTTAAGATGATTTTTCATGATGTTCAACTTTGCGAATCATCTCCGTCGATGCTCTGGTCTAAAGCGCTCGAACGTAGGCTATACACATTTCATGCGACTGAAGGCAATTTTCTTTCTTCGTCTATGCAGGTTGTGCTTGTTGCAAACTCCTTGCCGGCTATAAATGATGTCGTTGCCACCGAATTGCCTGCTGTTATAGCAGCCGCTGCAAAGGTATGTTGTCGATCGGTGAATGCATATCTATGGCTTAATCACGATAAGATAGTTCAAAGTACCTCAGGAACTGTGAATGATACGTGTGCTCGATGAATTTCGCAGCATTGCGACATTCTTCGAAGAGCTGCAGAATCGGGCGGACTCCTGTTTGACGCTGTATCTTGTAATAACGGCGACAGACACCAATGTCAAAATGGATCTGTACCACCGTTATACGTAGTAGCGAATGGAAGTGGCAGTCCATGCATTGACTTTCGACAAGTCAGTTCAGAAGTTGCTGCCTTTGCCAAGGACGCGGATCTGGTAATCCCTCTCGTTTTCAAATCTTCGATTATGTTGATGGCAGCAGAGATCATAGGAGGGTCCATCACTTTTAACTACGAGTCTTTGAAACCTCAATTTTGGCATCATCTCGATTGACTTTTGTTTTGCACCTAAACGCAGGTGGTTTTGGAGGGTATGGGTCGGGCTGTGCACACCAACTACAACGCGAAGTTTAAATGCGACGTTTTGAAGGTATGAAGCAACGGATTGTGAGCACTGTCAAAGTTTGTTCCTCCAACTTAAGTCGTTTCTGTAATCCACCATAGATCTTTTGTAACATTTGTTCATCGTTGGAACATGCAGCTGGCGATGATAAAAAACCAAAGGCTGGCCGAGCAACTTGTGCAGGGTAACATTTACGATTGCATTTGTCGTTATGAACCAGGGCAAGACTCTGAGATATATTTATGATCGTGTGCTTTGATCTCGACGTGGCCTCTACATTAGAGCCTTCACGTTGAATTCTCATGTAAATTTAAGAACTGGGATGAAGAAGACAGTGGCATCATTTACGCCACCATCGTTTCCGTAGCTGTAGTTGTTCTCTTCTCCGCAGGACGTCAAGTCCCTCGCGAAAGGTCACTCTCCAGTGACGCCCTTCGTACCTCATTATTGTCAATATGGGAAGCTCAAACAGAAGATTCGTCTACGTCTGATCTTCCAAAATATTAATTTATTCCCTCATTCGAGTGTTGATTGAAATCTCAGTATAGTTCTTCTCGATAGCAGCGAGCACATCCGTGCAGGTCAAGCCTGTATTTGCAATTTTTGTGGCTCTGAAAGATAATTGACTGGGCCTGCACGACACACTACGAAAGCTGAATGCTGTCAGAATCCGGTTAAAAAATCAGGACCTGTGATATGTCCACGAGCCATTAATGCTCCCAGTAAGATTCTCAGTACTCCATAACAAAAGGATTCACTCATACCTCGGCTCCAGCAGACTTCGACCAGTCGGTGCTGGCCAGCCGCATGAGGCAGGCTTGGCTGACGGCGCTGGCGTGCCAGGCGTGTCATGCCGCAGCTCACTTGCAAGGCTCGTCGAGCTCCATCTTTTACACGTTCGTGCATGGGAACGCGTGCAGCTCGAGCGCACGGCTTCGACGATCGACGTGTCGGCTCAGAAAATCTGCAAGTTTTGCAGTCAGAGACCACGCAACGCAACTCGCTGCACGGGACGCCAGCCCCAGAACGACTTCCTCCTCGCTCCTGAGAATCTCGATCCCTGCGGGCGGCTTGCGGAGTCTTGCACGCCTCGTGTGCAGCATCGACCACGTAAGAAGATGGACTGCTCCGAGACGGGGAGCGCTGGGTGGAGTGCCGCGAAAGCGAAGCTGCTGCCGTCGAGGTTTCATCATGAAGGAAGGGCCCATGAAGGAAGGGTCCGAGGATGAGGCTGCACTCCAAGCGACCGGAGCCAGAGCTGCCTACGGAAGAGAGCAGAGGATCGCGGCGATCTTCTGTGAAGCAGCAGTATCGTCGTCGATGTGCTCGAACAGGTTCTACTGCAGCGTCCCTTGAGCTTCGCGGGAGGCTGAGAGAGAGAGAGCAGAGGCGAGAGGGACGAGCGCGCGCTCGAAGGAGTACGAAGCGCGGTGATTTGGTTGGCTCAGTCACGGAGGCGAGGAATAGGGCGAGCCGGAGATGGTCGGAGCGGGCGACGAGGTGGGGGCCGGTCGCTCGAGGGAACGCATCGCCACGAGATGAGCCATGGAGCATCGCAGGCGGTCGGGATGGATGCTCTTCTGGCTGGCGCTGAGCCTGACCCTGAGCGCGAACGGTAGCGCCAGGGTTCCCAGGGTGGCCACGAGGACGAAAATAGGGACGGGGACGGGGAATGGCTCGCAGGAGTGTCCTGGAGGAGGGTGGACGGGCGAGGTGCTGGACGAGAATGCGCGCTCGGTGGCCACGGATCGAAGCGGGGAGCGGTTCGAGGTCGGGGCGCCGGGCGATGGGATGGCGCTGCTGCATATCAAGGGTTCGCCGTTCGAGCTGGGGCGGGCGCACGGGGTGCTGTTGCGCTCCGAGATCCAAACCATGTACGTGCGCTTGTTCGCGCACCTGGAGGATCAGCTGATCGTCGCGCTGCACCTGACGCTGCTGCCTGAGGCGCTGGCGCGACGCATCGCGCGCCTCGCGCTGAACGCCGCGCTCGACGCGACCTACCTCCTGACGCTATTGTACACCCCCGCGCGCTTCGTCGACGAGATGATCGGGCTGGCGCAAGGGGCGCAGGTCGAGTTCGACGACGTCGTCCGTGTGCAGATGATCCCCGAGCTTCTGCAGGCCTCGTGCTCCATGCTCGGGTCCTGGGGCCCTGCGACCTGGCGCTCCGACAAGCTCCGCGAGGAGGAGCAGAGCTGCGGGCTGTTCCAGATGCGCGCCCTCGATTGGGACATGGAGGCGCCGATCGTCGACTTCCCGGCGGTCATCTTCTACCACCCGGCCGACGGGAACTCATTCGCGCTCTTCACCTGGGCGGGCTTCATCGGCTGCGTCACTGGCTACTCCGGCCGGCTGGGCATCTCCGAGAAGGTCTGGGCGAATTCCTCCGCCAGCGCCAGCCGCAAGGGCATGCCGTGGCACTTCGCGCTGCGCGACGTCCTGCAGCTGGCTGACGGGTTGGACGAGGCGACGCAGCTCCTGGGCGCGACGTCCCGCACCTGCCCGATCCTCGTCGGCATCGGCTCCCGTCAGGACAACAAATTCGTCCTGCTCGGCTACTCCTCCGACGCGCTCCAGCTCTATGACGACACGAACTTCACCCTGATCACGTCGGCTGCGCCTCCCCCCGCCGACACGACGTTCCCCGGGGTCGTCTTTGTCGACAAATACGTGCAGCCTTCCGACGATCGGTGCATGCAGTCGGTGGTGCAGCAATTCTACGGCAAGCTCGACGACCTGGCGCTTCTGAACATGGCGTCCATGCAGGAGACCGGCGGAATGCACACTGCGCTGTACGATTTCGCTTCGAACGAGGTTCTGTTCAGCTGGGCCGCCTCCGATCCGAACACAGGCGAGCTCGTTCCTGCGTACAAACGAAATTATCTCAGATTGAACATGACTTCTCTTGCGAACCCCATCCCTCGGTGTCCGTCCCACTCGGGCAGGAGAGAATTGTCTTGTATGTAGATTCCTCGGACCGATTTCAGTGCAGGCGCTTCGTAGCGGCAGGTGTAAAACCTTCATCCTCTTTTCCCCCACAGTTATAAAAGAAATAGCTCAGGGTTGCCAATTTCCAGCCCCCAGGTGGTGTTTTGATGTCGATAATTCCAGGCAAAGTGCTCGGTTTTATCTTGTAAAATAAAATCTTTTCGTTCTTACTCATCAGGGAATTCTGTTATTCAGGGGATATTGAGTCACTCTCTGTCCCTCTGTTTCAACTTCTCGAGTCCATAAGTTGATTCAGGGGGGGGGGGGGGGGGGGGGGTTGGATTTTTGTTTCGAGGTGGAAAGGGGGATTGGAAATGACTGATGGGGTCGAACTCCGCCACTCCATTTGGTGATTTGTCCCGTGATTTGTTTAGTGCTTCATTTTAATGCATGGTCCACGAGTTGTAGAACAATAGGTGAAACTGACTTGTGCGTGAAGGAGAAGTCGAGACTACGGGTGGGAACGAACTTCGAGGGATTCATACGGCTTTCGGAGCTTGTCAAAACAGCCCAAGCAAATCCCAACTTGGAAAATCATTTGCAGTGTCGACGGAGCGCAACTGCCTCGTTTTTCAGCTGTCGAGGAGTTTACACAGGAAAGGAATATTTTCTCAGGTGCGGCGGAATGCGCTTCGCATCTTTTGGGTTACGCAACCTTCCGAGTTCCTTATCGGCATCTTGCGCCCACAGAATTGATGTCACTATCATGTGTTGCAGTCGACTCGGGGATGCACGCTTGCATCGGTTGTTTTTCCCCCAACCGACCGGCGACCGAAACCGGATGCGAAGCATGTTCACCTTATTGTCAGTTTGGAAGTAAAGGACACCTCCGAGAGCTTTATGCATATAGCCGATGAGAAAAAAGGGGTCAGGTCAAATTGCCAGGCAGTGCAAGCAGACCATGTTGACAAAACCTGGAGCTTCGTTTGTGGGGGTGCGCAAGTGACTGACTTTTCTTTTCCTCTCCAGGCATGAATGATGGAACACACCTCTGCGCAAGGTCCGTAACAATTCGTGTTGGATCCTAAGTTTTTACGGATTCCTTTTTTGTCATCTGGCTCGACCCTGTAGAAAGAAGCTGCGATCGGTTGGATTCATTCGGAACGAACAGGGTGCATCCCTGCCCCATCAAAAGATCGCAGTGTAAGTTTTTCTCAAGTGACGTTGTCAGCAGAATATGGAAATCGAGACATGAATGGCTGAAGATTTGAAACGAATGAGGAAACTGCAAACTCCAGTCTTTCAAACCAACTGAGATAAACCCCCAACCATCCCCAGGGTTTTTGTCCCAAGTATAAATCATGTCATAAATGAGGTTGGAGGAACGCTCGTTCCAGTTCCTCTGCTCCTGCAGACGTGCAGGTGCCATCCAGTTGACCACGAAGATTTAAACCTTAGTCAATAGGGTCGTCTCTATACAGTGGGATACTCAGTCACTCACCCAGACATAAGCCTCTACACACACCACTGTCTTGTTCCCCCACGTGAATCTCAAAATTGGCAGACATGCAGAAATTTTACACACGGCATTTCATTCGTAGCGTGTGCAAGAAAGCGAAAAACATCATTTTAGTAGTCGAGTTGAAGTTCGCAAGCGAAGCTCACTGGCCGGCGATGGAGATACTTTTGATACGTGTGATAGGAAGATGGATCGCGGGCACGAAAGCCCTGCAGGTGAAAATCGCCGCAGGCGTCGGCATCGGATCTGAGTTCAAAGCAAGTTGTCGTCTTCTAGATCCTCCTTTGACGCAAAATCATTGTTACGTGATTACAACAAAACCCGACGTGAATAAGATTAGCAGCTGGCTTGATTTCACTGGCGACGGGTATGACAGTCATTGGAGGGATGGAAGACACCGTCATGCGATAAGACTTCTCCAGCACACAGCGTTCAGAAGTTAAAAGCCGGGAATAAATAATCTTTCAAACATATGCTCGCTTTGACCATGTGTCAAGGGCGTATATTTTGAAAGAGAGGTTAGGGAGCATCGTGGACCTTTCTAAAGAACTAGAGCATTTGTAAAATCAGTTTAAGCATCATAGTCCTTGAAGCCCAGTGGAGAAACTTTGACACCTTGAGATGTAAAAATGTTGAGTTTGGTCTATTCGAGAAATTTATCCTCATTTGTAGCTTTGCAAGTTATGTTTGACATCCACTAACAGCTTAGATATCTTAGGATTGTCACTTGGATCCCAGTAATTTGTCACAAGTTATCTAGAAGTTGCACTAGCTGAGTTTCATATTGATTGATTCTCCCAAGTAGATCGATTCTCCTCTACTTGGGAAACGTTTGGCATACTCCCATCTAGTATTCTAGCTTTTCAGTCCACTTAAGTGCTTTGCACGGTTTCAACCTCCTTTACATTTTTTATCGCATTTTAATGTCTTTGATCTTTGATATGATGATAATGGGCTTTTTGTATCACATCATAAAACCAAATACCCTCCGTGTGTGTTTGGAGATATCAAGGAATAGTTTTTCTTCCCAATATTGGACTACAATCTCTGTAATCTTCTGAATGTTTATACAGATACATTGTGTGTTTAGTTTACATAAGATTATTTACTTAAAATTTCCTAAATAAATAATTTTGATCAAAGCATTAGTTGGATTGAGTTTACTGTGTATTTTGATTAGTTCGATACTTTCATAAAAAATTGCATGTTTGATAAAGTAATATCTAATGTTGATGTGATTCACTCTACTATCCATCATCTGATTGGCAACACAATGTAAAACAATGTGGAGTATTCTCGCTATCACAAAGAAGATTGATTACTCCTTGTTTCAAACTCATATCATTGATAAGTCTATCTAATCAAATAGCTTCTGTTGTCGCTACATACTAAACTTCCGTTATAGATTGAACTACGCACTCTACAAGCTAGATTTCCAGCTAATGTTTCCACCATCAAGTGTAAACACAAGTTAATGGTATAGATACTCTAGGTCAGATCTTGTCCATATTCAGCATCAACTTATCATAACAAGTATTTGGCATTGTCTAATAAATTATCAAACAATAAATCATACTACTTAGGACTCTTCAAATATCTGAGAACTTATTTCACTGCTTCCTAGTGAATCTTCTCTAGATTCGATATGTATATATTCATCTTGCTTATCGCTAAAGCAATATCAAGTCTTTTGCACATCATCAAATACACGACATAGCTTACAACTTGATCATATGGAACATGTGACATTTTTTCACTCTCAATGGGATCGATAAAACATTGGGCTGTAAAAATTTTATAATGTTGTGTCCAACAGAGTTCATATTACTTAAAAACTTGCCATGTTGAATGTGTCAAATATAATTACTCTAACTCAATCATAATCTATTCTCTCCTGATACATATGAATGTTCATACCTAATATTCTATTTGATTTACTCAAAATGTTTTGTTTTAATTGCAGATATTAACTAGTTTTTGCATCTATCAACGTCATATTGATTTTTTTGGCCAAGATGAACATGTCATTCACGTAGATTACTATAATAAAGATTTCATTATTCAACTTTTTATGTAGATCCAACGATTATTCACACTCTATGAAAAATCTTGTGACTTCATGAATTTCTTGTGTATTTATTACTTAAGAATTTGCTTCAATCCATGTAGTGATTTCAACATTCTATAAACCAATCTCTTTTTATTATTAACCTCCAAGCCAACTAGTCATTTCGTGTAGATTTTCTACTCTAAATATTCATAGATTAATGTTGTAACTATATTCATGTGATCTATAACAGAACTAAAAATCGTAGCCAATGCACATACCAGAAAAATTGTAGTATACTTTGTTATAGATGAAAAAAAATTTGTTGTAATCCCTCCATTGTGAAACTTTTAACCATCAACCTGGCTTTAAATATTCTTGCCTTGTCATTTTCTTGATTATTCTTCAATTGTACATCCATTTGCAATCAATCAACGTCTTATTGCTAAGAATTTTATCTAACTTTCAAATCTTGCTATCAATCAGCAATTGCATCTAACACTCCATACCAACATTTCATTCAAGTTTATTGATCGAAGCTTAAGCTTTCCTATACAAAGAAGTTTTTTCTTCTTCTAAGATCAACGCATGTCATCGTCATACTCTATATCAATGTCACAATCTTCAAGATTGAATGAATCAATCCATACATCACACTAGAAAAGAGCTCTATTAGTATGATTTCATAATAAAAGATTCTAGTTTATCGTATGGTGCAAATACATAAAGTTCATCAACAATAACCTCCTTGTTTAGTTCATGTTTTTCACAAACTTTATACTTTAGTATTTGTGCTCCTTCTTGTGTCAGATCATTAATCACATAATGATCAAATTTTCACTCAACAACATACGTGAGTGGAAATTTTTCCTTGTAAGTATGGAAAACCTAAGAAGATTTCCCTCCCCTCTCTTTTATTGATTCGTATTCATTGAAAACAACAATCCTATTGCCTATAACCGTATATGCTACAGGATCTTATAGTTTATAACCCTTCACACTACTAATCTATCCAAGGAATGGTTATATATCTAGTATAGTAACCTTGTTTTCATAGGATAATCTTATCCTGTACTCTAACCTCCAACACGTATTTTTAAGAGCTTCACTCTAGGCCATGTGAGTCAAACATAAAGAGATGTCAAGTTTTTTTCATGTTAAGTTTAAACATAATTTGGATTAGTGTACATTTGACCTCATCAAACATGCAAAGTTTCATAGATCCAACTCTCTCAATCTTTCATAGTTCATCAATCTCCATAAAAATTGATTAATTTGATCTTGAGAAAATATAAAAGAATTCTCTAGTGTAACAAATGTGATAAGAACAAGCACTATCAAGAATCCATACATCACTAACAATACTTGGTGAAATGTCTGAGGCATAACTTAGGCTTCATATGTCATAATCTAGCCCGTCCTTCTCCTAAAAATTAAAATGTTTCGTCACATATTCTAATGGAGAATCAATGTCTTTGATCATCTTCACTCAGCAATCATTCTCGACATGGTCATTCTTGCCACATAGCCAGCACACTTGCGTCTCTTTTCAGGGTATCTTACGCATGAATTTGGATCTCCTCTTGAATCCAACACATTTCTCATTCTTGTAGTTCCTTGAACGTGATCGAACTCTAGTCATATTTAATGTCCTCTTGAAAGAAGTGGATGAGAAGATGATGTTATCATCTTCTGCTGCAAGTCATTTATCTGATTTCCTTCCTTGTTGTAAATGATATTTTTCTTATCACGATTAAACAAGACACATGATCATGTCTGATACAATGCCGACAACGAACTAAGAAGATGGAGAACTATATATATATATATATAAAATATCTCCTCGCCATGATTATTGCAGATTTATGAACAAGATCATCAAAGACGTCAATGTGATATTGGATCTTGGTTTCATAATCTTTCATCTTGAAACTCATCAACTTCAAGTGGCTGTACAACCTGTTTGATAGTTTCATGAAATAGAACCGGCTTTGAAGAGTTTCAAACAATACAGTCACTTCGTCATAATCTTTCAACTATTTCAAAATCAAAGGTTGACTTTATATTGGCAAGAAATATACGTTGAAAATCTTTACATGTATACTACTTGTTCCTAGAGATATTTTCATTTGCTATAGTTAAAGTCAGCAGTTTTCTCCCTCAACATTATGCCAAGGTCCATGGCCTTCATTTTCCCCTTTACTTGACTTTCCCAAAGCAATAGTCTCAGTGTGCGTAGTAACTGACAATACTACAACTTCCTCCTTTAGGCAATCTAGTTGTCAAATCTATTAGACAAAAGCTTGAAGTTGTGGAGTTTTTTCCTTTCCGCTCATCCGTTACCTTCACATGAGTATCCAAATGTACTAGCTATTATGAGAGAATATTTTGTTTGGAGGGAGTATTATGTCAAAGAAAATACTCTCATGGAAGTAAAATGTCACAGACAATATTTTTCCAAAAGAAATATTCCAACGGAAAGAATATTTGACGGATGAAATATTCTGTCGGAATATGTCTGAACCTGCATAATCTTGCCTGTGCCGCATCACCTGTCACGCTGATGCATTTTGTTTGATTGTAATATATAAATTTGCATCTTAATACTAAATTTCTTTATGTTCATTTTTTCCAAATTCAAGGTTGAAGTTTGGTGGTGTGATATATGGATAAATGAACTATTTTTATAAAAATGTGATATATTTACATCAATTATCATAAGTTGTCTTGTAATTAATCATGTGCATAGTATACATTTTAATGACAACAAAATGATACTTAGAGTTAAGCATCTCTTATTATTATCAATTTCATATGTACCATAATATGAGTAGGTCAGGCCAAACTTGTTATCATATACTTTTATCTTCATAAGAAATAACATCCTTATGGGTTAAATTATTTAGTAGAAATGGATCGTAAGAAGATGGTATTACAGGTAAATTTATAACCATGTAAGAGCAAGGTTATATATCGTGTTAATGCTTACAATTTTTGTTCTTTTACTATACCTTTTATTTCTTCAAACCAGTTAAAATATCTTTGTCATTTTTATTTTTTATTCTAAACTTTTATATCTGTAATATTTGAACAAATCACTGAAACTCGAAATAACCATAGACAGATAGATATCTTATCATTTTCATCTTTTATCTACTTGAAAAGTTTGTCCATGGTGTAATAGCTCTGGTGTTTATCTTTTGAACATAAGATATGAGGAAAATCTATGTATGAAACAAGCCTTCCATTATGAATTCAATTTTGCAATTCGTCTCGTTCTATTTTGCATCAGGTTACGGGGACCCGACATTTTAGAGAAGCTTCATTTTAGTTACTATTAGCAAGATTTTGAGGGGAAGAACTTTACATCGAACAATTTATCAACAGTGAAAATTCCGACTTTGGAATTTAAACCAAGCAATAATTGTTGACGTCATGGATTGTATTACACCCCGTTGCCGATGCACTTTCATATGATTTCCTCTTCTTATTGATCTCGATCTGTTTGTGACTTCTGGCAACACAACCGTGGTATCACGTCAACGTTGTAAAGTGACCTCTTGTCGAAATTGACCCTTCCGCTACTGAGAAGCCACGGAAAGTCCCATCTCTTGGCCACAATACTCGGTCCCCGCTCTGTTCCGAGAAGTTCCTGTTCTGTCCGTATGTCCCTTACCTCGACATACGGACAGACCACCAATGGCATGGTACGAACACGTACCGCGCGTAAACTGGACCGCAAGCAACGAAATCCATTCCCCAAAAGGTGAAGATTTCACGAAAGCCATCGCTGAGCTTCGCTCCCAAGTTTCGTAAAAGCAACAGTCTGCGAAAGGACCCCCCATCCCCACCCCACACACCTTCCGGAAGCAGTCCGAAGAACAATACACCGCCACTTCACCCCGAAAAGAGAGCGAAAGGAAGCGAAAATTCTTCTGCCAGCGGGCTCAGCCCTCGAATGTCGCAAGTTGGAGTGGGGGGCGGATGGGACAGGTGGCGCGATCCGAGCAGAGGCGCTGACCCACCACAGAAACAGCGGTGGCTCAGGACTCGAGCTGCGTTGACCGGGACTCGACTCGGTCTGAAGTCGTGAACTGCGTCGGGAGTGTGGACTCCCTCCCTCGGGGCAGTACTCACGACAACCTCGAGAGCTCGAGCTCGAGCTTGAGCTTGTGCTCGGGCTTGCACATTCTTCTCCATTGTCTGGCGCCGGGGGGAGGACAAATCGTTTCGAGGGGCAGTGAGCGACCTCTTTCGAAAAGGCGAAGGACGAAGCACATCGGATCGGGGATCGGGGACGGGGGCACGGAACGAACGCTACGAGGCGAGTGTCGCTGCCGGGGCCTGGGACCCTAGGGGCACGTAGGCGGCCGAGCACGGCTTCGAAGCGCCGCGTCGCAGGCTGACCACAGGGCTCGATGTCGCCCCCGGGGGCTCGGTGAATGTCAGGCCTGCGTGCGGCGATCATGGGCCGTGACGTAGAGCCGGCCCCGGCCTGGGCCAGCGCAGTCCATGCATGGCCCGGGCGGGAGGTCGGGGTGCGGCTACCGCTTTCGAGTAAATTTGGATCCGTTCATGGCCTCGGGGCACCGCGAATTCGCTCCGTCCCGGGCAACCGAATCATCCGGGCCGCAGCTTCTAAGCCGAGAGTCGAGCCTCGTGAGCGTCCGGCAGTGCACCAATTGTCCCCACTGCCTGCGCTGCCATCAATCGGGAGATTCTGCACGTATGCCTCGAAATTAAGTAATTCTATCTCGCAGAGGAGGGGTAGTTTAAAGCGCGAGCATTCCCGGAGCAGGTATAGCTATCAGTTCTGCAGCTTGCAGGGCAGAGCAGAGCAGAGCAGAGCGCAAACAGAGTAGCATTTGAGCTTCGGAGGAGCTTGACTGTCGTCCTCACGGCCAATGGTTTGCACAGCCGCTGCTGCTGCTGCTGCACCGGAGAAATTCCATAGCTGTCGAGGATTTTGAGCTGTGCCCCCGATTCCGAGTCACCACAGGCTTAACGTCAAGAATTGAGTCGTGTCTTGCTCGCGAGCTCGCTAAAGAGATAGAAAGACAGACGAACAGACAGAGACGAGTGCGAAGATGATGATCCAATCGGTAGGACGCATTCAGGCTCCGGCGCAATTGCAAAAATGCTCCGTCTCCGGGAGCAAGAGCGCTTCATTCTCGCAATTCTCGGGCCTTAAGATTGCAGCGCCGGGCAAATTGACGAAGAGCTCATTGACAGCGGCGTCGCCGTCGGCCGGCAAGAGCGCGGCCCCCGTGTCACAGAGGATCGTGGCGCAGGGCGCAGCAACCGAGGAGGCGGCAACGGTGACCGAGGACGTGAGCCGGCTCACGCCCAGAGTGGAAATCGTGGACGGGTACTGGAGGCTGAAGCCGGAATTTCGCACGAGCATCAACCCCGCGGAGAAAACGAAGCTCGAGGACGAGCCCATGAAGCTGTGGACCGAGAGGAGGATCGAGGAGCTTGCTCGCACCCCATTTGCCGAAATTGATTCTTCCAAGCAGGGAAAGGATGATGTCGACGTCCGACTCAAATGGCTCGGCCTCTTCCACAGGCGCAAGCACCAGTACGGCCGATTCATGATGCGCCTCAAGCTGCCCAACGGCGTCACGACGAGCGAGCAGACGCGCTTCCTCGCCAGCGTCATCGAGAAGTATGGCGCCGAGGGCTGCGCCGACGTGACGACGCGGCAGAACTGGCAGATTCGGGGCGTGCTGCTGGAGGACGTCCCGGCGCTGATGGACGGGCTGACTCGCGTGGGCCTGACCAGCATCCAGAGCGGCATGGACAACGTCCGCAACGCAGTCGGCAACCCCATCGCGGGCATCGACCCGCACGAGATCATCGACACCAGGCCCGCGGTCATGGCCCTCAACGACTACATCGTCAACCGCGGCAAGGGCAACCTGTCCATCACGAACCTACCGCGTAAGTGGAACGTGTGCGTGATCGGCACCCACGATCTCTTCGAGCACCCGCACATCAATGACCTCGCGTACATACCCGCGCTCAAGGACGGGCGCATGGGCTTCAATCTGCTGGTGGGCGGGTTCTTCAGCTCCAAGCGCGACGCCGAGGCCATCCCGCTCGACGCCTGGGTGTCGGAGGCCGACGTCGTGCCGCTCTGCAAGGCCATGCTCGAGGCGTTCCGCGACCTGGGGTCGCGCGGCAACAGGCAGAAGTGCCGAATGATGTGGCTCATCGACGAGCTCGGCATCGAGGCCTTCCGCGCCGAGGTCGAGAAGCGCCTGCCGTCGCAGAAGCTGGAACGCGCCGCCGAGTCCGACCTCCTGGACACGACCTGGAAGCGCCGCGACTTGTTGGGAGTCCACCCGCAGAAGCAGCCGGGGCTTTCCTTCGTGGGGATCCATGTCCCCGTGGGCCGGCTGCAGGCCGCTGACATGTTCGAGTTCGCGCGCATCGCCGATCAGTATGGGTCCGGCGAGCTGCGCCTCACCGTCGAGCAGAACATCATCGTGCCCAATGTGCCCGACGCCAAAGTGTCGCAGCTGCTGCAGGAGCCACTTGTCACCCGGTTCGGCGCCCAGCCTACGCCTCTCGTGACCAATCTCGTGTCGTGCACGGGCAAGCAGTTCTGCGGAATGGCCATCATCGAGACCAAGAATCGGGCTCTGGCCATCACCCAGGAGCTGGAAGCGAGCATGAATTTCACTAAGCCCGTGCGCATGCACTGGACGGGATGCCCGAATTCCTGCGCCCAGGTGCAGGTGGCCGACATCGGGTTCATGGGGACCATGGCCAGGGACGAGAACAACAAGCCTACGGATGGCGTGGACATTTTTCTCGGAGGCAAGGTCGGAGCCGAGTCGCACCTCGGGACCAAAGTTCGCACTTCTGTACCTATCAAGGACTTGATTCCGGTCGTGCAAGAAATTCTGATCGAGCGCTTCGGGGCGACTCTCAAGGCTTAGAAAACTGATCGAGCTAGAAAATTGACAGACGCGAAGTCCGAATCGATCGTGTCTTGTACATCCAATTTTGTTTATCACTGCTGTACAGCTATAGTTTCATCTCCCCACCCTGCCCTTCCTTATTGACAGTTGCGAAATCGGAAAAGCTTCTGGCATGTCAGCACCTGATTCGACCGTAGGAGCTCTGAGCCGAGACCTCTTCTCAGCTCTGTTGTGCTGATCGAGTGAGAGAGAATGCGAGCGAGAAAGAAGACAGAGAGAGTAGTATTCATTCCTTCCCAATGACCACTTGAAAGTGATTTGCAGAGCTGACGAATAGCCGCTAAATGCATTGCCGTTTCGATCGTGAAGGCTTTGAGGTCATGTAAGATAGAAGAAAGTCTGATAGATGGTGATTTGCCAGAGGAGCTTGAAGTGTTAAAAAGCGGCATTTGGAGACAGAAGGACAGGCTGGTCCCGATGTCAAGTGCTGAGGGTACGAAGCCACATCCTCATTATTTTACATATATATTGAATAAAGGGTTGGACGGCAGAAATTACTTCATCTTGGATCTTTCTTTCGTACACTCATGAATCACAAGTGTTTATTTTGTTCTCTGCTTACGGGTGGTGAAGAATTGAATTGGCTTTCCTCCACAGGTCATAATCTATTAGTTAGACCTGGTTTCACACGACTCGTACAATTGTTAGCTAGCTCCTTATCTTGCATACAAGCACAAGCTTACTCCCCTCGTATGATGAGGTCGGCAGGTATTTTACATGCGATACGAGCACCGGTAGAGAAGACGTGTAAATTTATCGCAAGGGACATAACAATTTCGATACCCCGTCAGTTGACTGTGTGAAATGTCTATGAGCATTTGCCTGATTCGATGAACCTCTCGACGAGGTGTCAGCTGGCATATTCCTGGACCGTGCCATGCCAAATCTTCTCAATGCTAGAAAAGACGACACGAGTGTGTAGGGAACTGGCCATCCTTTGAACTCTGACTGGATAATGTATTTTGTCGGTACAGGTACTTTGAAATCGACAAATCCGATTTAATCCACCAGCCGATCAGAGAACAAACTTTCAGCAAATGATAAGAGCAAATGTTGGTCTCACCGGTGGATGGTGAGCTATCATCACCCCCGGAATGATTACACCTTGCGCCGACCTGGCCACTACTACCGTTGGCAGCTTGATAGTCTTAGCTACATCGACCTCTCTCTGTTACGTGAATACAACATTCACACTCTGTAGGACAAATCACTTAGGGCTAGCCCTACCGAACTTACCAAGTTAAAAATGGGCTTCTTCATTCGAGCACTTATTTTAGAAAGTTCAGGTGAATGTATGCAGCAATCCCGTAGGCTCTGAACGTGACCATAGGCGGCCGGACCTTGTCACTTTCTATTTAGAGAACTGAAGATGCTAGACCAGCACAGTATCGCCCGATGTCTTGGAATTCAGACCCGGTTTACAGGGCAAGGACCAATTTCCGTCGTGTGTTCCACACAAGTCTTCATGTTCATTTAAGTTCCAGGTGTGAGATCTGCTATGTTGGCGAAAACTGTGCAGAGCTGGTAAGTCTCGAACGCTTGGCAGTGCCGACGGTCACGTCGCCATCTCTTCGTTGTTAACTGTGAGTGCCGACACCACAACTACGATGGCAAGTATGTTCGAGGCTTCTCTCGAGGCAGATGAAGGAGAATGAGGCAGTTGAGCTGAAGAATGCAACGCACAACTGAGACCTTCGATGCACATGCGAAGCGGACATATGCCCAGATTTCATTCTGAATGCTATTCCGTACTTCCCAGCCAGTTAAGAGCATTATCGGAGGATTTTATCAGAGTCTCAGTATACGCCCGTGTCTGTGTACGGTGGTGTACAAGTACAGACCTCTCGTACTAGCTGAAACTTAAACCTGCTCCCAAAACTCTGTCTGGGTAGAGGGCTAAGGCAGAGGAAGGAAACAAGGGGGCACCAAGCAATGAAGCAAAAAGGATGTAAAGACCCCATAAAGTCGAACTGGGATAAAACCAAGCGGATAACATGGGGAAAGAGAGTGGGACGTCGCTTTATTAGTATCGGAGTCGAATAGTAAAGAAGCTAACTACCCTACCTAGACCTCTGATTCAAAGTCAGGGGGCGCGAGAAGTAAGTGTGCCCCAATCTCGTCCACGGGTAGTGGTCCCCTTGCTGGGCTTTTTTGCGATCAGTTGTATTCTAGGGGTAAAAACTACCCTGTGTTCCTTGTTTGCACATTAGCCCAACAATAACTTGTACATGTAAGAAGGGCTGTTTTGTCGGAGGCAGATTTCCTTCATCGGACTTTAGCAGACTTCAGCAGCCTTGTAATTATATCCTCAGGATGCAACATATGACTTCCATCCACCACCAAGTCTTCGCCACTGACGAAAGAAGAATCGTCGCTGGCTAGAAACAGAGCTGCGTTCGCTATACAGTCAGGGCCTGCCATTTGGTGTGAGACACTAGTCTTCATAGCCGGGAAAAATGACAAGGTCTGGACTTTATTGAGTGCTGCCTGAGATAGCTGGTTCCACATCGGTGTCCAGATCATACCAGGAGAAATGGTGTTAATTCTGATATTGGAATCCCTTAGCTCGAAAGCTGCAGAGCGAGTCATTCCCAACAATGCATGCTTGAATGTCGTGTAAGCCATGGGGCCGCTTCCGATATGTGCAGACACGCTCGCTGTGGTAATGATGCTGCCCGATTGCATCGGCTTCATAACTCTGGCGGCGTGTTTCACTCCCATGAATGCCCCTTTCAAGAGAATGCCGTAGGCACGATCAAAATCTGCCATGGGAATTTGGTCGAGCGGTCCGACGGGCCCAGTTACTGCAGCATTGTTAAACATAACATTGAGGCCTCCATAGGCACTGACGCTGAGATCCACAGCCGCTGCAACGTGTTCCTCTCGGCTCACATCGCAATGGATGAAGCGGGCTGTGTCAGGTCCGCCGAGCTCGCGTGCCAACTTCTCTCCTGCAGCGTCCTGAATGTCGGCAATTATCACTTTTGCACCGTGTGCCACAAACGTCTTCACTGTCTCTTGACCAATTCCGCTTGCTCCTCCCGTGATCACAGCCACTTTACCCTGTAACCTGCATACCGCGCACAATCGTTCTATCAGAGGAGTTGCCAAAGGCATGTGATCCTAATACAGAGCAGGAGGAAGCATGCCCATATATCAAAACAGAAAACTTACGCCTCAAGCATGCGATGCAGTTGCAGAGGTGGCTTAATTACAACTCGTCTGCAATGACATTCTCAACGAAACACATATATTGTCCACATGATCATCGATCTTACGCAGTTGAGTCGAAACCTTTTTATTGTGGACCACAACTAGCATGCACCCTAATTAGCAGATTATTCATTTTTGGGGCGAGAAACAACCTGAGGGCAGCAGGAATGGCCTTGGTGATCGTAGCCATTTTTATGCTGGGCAGAAAGCCGACAATCCGGTCGAGCTGTTCCAACTAAGCCGAGGATCTGGTCCATAATTTCAAGATGAAAATCAGAGTCCAAGTTGCACTCACTCAAAGAGAATATCTGATTTGCCAACGAGGGTCCATTCAAAAGCTATTTTCAAGTCATTTATTTGACACTTCAGTAGATCTAAGCCAGTCCTTAATCTTGGAAAATATCTCTACAAGCTTTAACTTTCAAAATCTGGACTTGATTGATTATTATCTTATTTCACGAATTTATTTCGGATAATCCTATAGTAAGAAAGCATCCCAAACCTTGAAGTGTCACGGTCGCTCTGCTGCATCAAAATGAGACTTAAGCAAAAACCAAAGGAATGAAGAATCACAATAGTTACTTGTGTGATCTCCACGGGCTTTCGTTTCGTGCTGAAGTTTTTTAGTTTCGGCCCGACAGTGTCGCCTCCTTGTTAAGATGTTATCACTCTCAGGTTGGACTAGACGACGGCCATTCTCCTGAAACAGCAACAATCACGCAACACGAACAAGCTCGCCTCCTTCTCTGTTCTCTTCTCTATTCACGAAGTCCATCCCTTAGAGGAGAATACCACACGCTGACATTGCTGTACAGTTGTCATACAACGTCCGAAGGGCCAATTCACGTCAATCCTGCCAACTTACTTCCGATATAAGCAATCGCCAATATTGACAGTGCACCACTTGCTACAGAGATGAACAAGACAGAAGGGAGGAGAGCAAGCGCCGTACACACTGCAATCGATCGGCTTTTGCCTCCTGTCTCGCAAGCAGTTAGTCAATGACGCATACTGATAGATCGTCCGTCCATTCCCGAGGGCTCACCTCTCCTTCACACTAGGCATGTAACAGATTCATAAGACAATAAGCAGCCGGGTTGACGACTCTCCATCAGATCAGATCATAGACATACACTCCGCATGAACAAGAATTTTGTAGCGGATGGAAGAAGGCCTCCGGCAAAACGATGCAGACCCGAGAGCAGATTCCAAACAATCCTCCAGTACAGGCTGTTTAGAACAATATCTCTTGTGTGATTTGCACCATGTGGACAATTACATGGGGGCCGTAGAACTTAGTGGCGTTAGGTAGGTAGTGGTCCTGCACAATGGCATCTGGTCGACTTGTAGCTAGTGAACGGGGTTTGATCGTGCCTTGTTTCTTGCCTCCGCATCTCTAGTCATATCTAGGAGAGTCCCTCCTTTACCACCTTGAACTTCATTTTAATTTTTTGTTTTTAATTTATTTAAAAATAATAATAGGTAATAATTATTAAGTATTAAATCAGGACAGTTCACTGGATTCTCCTGGAAGCAAAGCAGATCGCGAAGTAGCTTAACGATGGCATGATCTCACATGCCATCTTCACGAGGCATCCTTGGGTACAAGCTTGTCACTATTTTGACATTGTGTACTATGTAGATTCATGTCACTGATAGCTTGGAATCGCTACTTTTCTTTTATCACTGTACCGTGCAACATCTATGCTATCTATATGACATACTTTTCATCACAATGCTATGTAACCTAGACACCTGTTTTTGTTTGTTTCCTTCCTTGTAAGGTATGATGTTTCCTCTCATTGTTTATAGCCATTTTGCCCCTACATTATCTTAAGTTCCTAAATGGATACTTGACTCTACTTAATTTCTATTGTAAATAAGTAGTAACCTTTGAACTATGTTGATATTTAGTTTAAACTTTTTACATCATTAATCTAATCCTAAACATAAAGAGATTCTAACTTAAAGCTTTACAAATACATTCCTTCCACTAAAAGTTAATTTACTTCATATTTTTAAAATGCGCTTACTATGTTTCTCTTTCACAAATACTTAAGTGAAATAAAAAATGGTGAATACTAGGTTCAAGAATACAATTTTTTGTTAGAAACTGACTCACATTTTCGTTAAATCTAGTGCTTAAAATTATGATTAATGTTATTAAGTTAAAAACTGCTGTATAAAGAGTTTAACAAAAGCTTTATATGACTCAAGATGGGCTTTATATGAAAAAATGGAGACTTCGGATCCGTGGACGGCGTAAATTCATTGAGGTATATCATGTATTTTTTGTGTTGATTTCATTGAGAAAGTTTGTCACTATACATCCAGACAACAAGTGCTACTAGAGCTTGAGAGTAATTTGACAAGTTTTGGACAAGTGACTCGATTTGCGTCAGCGAGATCAAATGACAATGTGGTACTTGCGGCAAGTGATTAGCGGCAAAACTGCAAGGCAAAACATTCATATGTATACGGATGTAGTTAACTATTTATTTTTGGAGCAAGAGTACAAGCGCTGTGAGTCTCATAAAGCAGATTTGGACCATGGAAGGACATTGAGTTTCACATCTTGAAGCTTCTTTCATATATAAGATAGAGATAGACAGAAGTGATATCGTTGATCAATTGTCTTTTCATTAACTCTTTCTCATTGCCTTCATACACTTGCAAATAAAAAATTATAACTTTTGGGATGATGTTGCTGATTTTGGTATTCAGATTATTTAATTTGATGCTTGTCATGGAATATATTTTTTTGTAATTTCATTATATAAAATTGCAAACATCAAAACATGCTTTGAAAATTGTATGGTCACAATTGAAACAAATATAATCATCTGTATTTTAGACTGTAGGGCAATCACAAGATAAAAACACTAGTTTCAGCAGGCTTGAAGAGTGTGAGGGAGTTCAATCTAAAGAAAATTCAGAGTGGAGGAATTTTTTTTCGTAGTTTATGATATCAATCTGGTCAATCTTTAAAATTTATCAACATGAAACATAAACTATAAGTCAAAAAGTCAAAATCTTTTCATTCGGCATTTCATTTTTTTGAAAAAACGACAAAGACTCACAAAAAGATAAAATAAATTAGCGTCAAAATGAACTAAAATGCCGGCTGATTCCATTTGTCAATATTTTACGAGGAAATTACTTGATGGTATCCAACAGGTTTATTTTAACCCATGGAACCCCTCGACAGTCCTGCAACCACCGTTAGCAATGTTCCAATACGATCTAGGGTAATTTCGGGAGGAATCTCTCCATGTTTTTTTGGATGCAGTTATGGCAAGATTTTATCGGGACTACTTCAGCATCATAGTGCACGTTGTTTTCTGATATACGTTATGAAATGACTCTCACGAGAGAGAGTATTTTAGCCCGATAGTGGCATACACTCTCCACATTATATCACAAATTGTTAGGTTATAAGAATTTTATTGATACATGAGTTGAGTGAGTTGCATGTACGTCTTGTATGCTCTCATCGGGTAAAAAGAAACCTTTTAGATACTATCAAGTAATTTGAGTTTTCCATGGGTTCCATCAAATAATTATCTCATATTTTACTGGTAAAAGTATAAAAAAATGGAAAACACTAACCAACATGAATAAGAACAACAACATCTATAGCTACACATCAACCTTGCATCACATCTTTGAAAATGATGCATGTAAATTCTACCAAATTAGTATACACATTCAAGCTTATATGCTACACAAATTTTGATATGGAGTATGAATAAAGTCATCCTCCAGATCAAAGAACGATGAATAAAAACATCGTTCTATTAAACATGAAAAAAACTCAGATAAGCATGTTTGACATTTTTTGAGTCTATAATCATTTTAGACCGTTTGAAGAATGATTCAAGAGTCTTATTTGAAATGTGAGTTCTTACTCTGTACCATTTTTATCTACATGACAAATTCACATCTCATTAACACAAAATTACAAAAATTAATTGATTTTCCTTTGAGAACATATAGGTAACATCACTTCAAGGCAAATCAAAAGCAAACCAAAAGCAAAGGCTAGAAAGAGCATATATAGAGAAAATTCATTGAAAGAATGATAGCATAAGATCGTATGTGAATGATAAAGAAATACATCCAAAGAGAAAGGATTAAAATTTGCTTGCAAATTCCTCTTCCACACGTTGGTCCGCAACGTGTTGCTTCAAGAGATTTAGAATCAGGTTATGGTTCGTATTGTCGAAGGGCTTCTTAATACCGAACTTAAGCGCTTGATACATATGAAAATGTGAACAATAAAATCAAGTACAAAGCAGTGAGCCTCATCATATGTCTTTGAGCTCTTTACATATGGTGCAAATAATTTAATATTTACATCATTCTCAACGTGCTAGTGCAAGATAATCAATCTTAGATTGGATTTTGGCTCCGTCTACTTTAAAAGAGTAGACCTGATCCAAAAGATACTAAAATATATATTTTATTATGACTTGAAGGAATTGCCACATTACTTAGAACAAAATCTCTAGTCTTGCAAACCAATGCATCACCAACAGGATTTATAAATTGTACATGTCAGCGAAAAGTGGTACTAGGCGTCCTCGCATGAGGTCATGGAACAAAATCATGAAAATCTTTGTCCCATCCAAAAAGCTGTCAGATCTAAAAGTTGTCGGACCTGAAAGCCACGCAACGCGAGCTGAAGATTCAGCACATGTTTCTAACGTTGCTCATCGATGGCGTCTCGAAATTTCCTTTAAGTTCGCCTGCTTTACTTAATAGATTTTACTAATTTATTTTTCATTCAAAGAGTCTAACTTCAATATGGTGCGGCATATAGTATTTCAAAGCATTATAAATTAAACTTTCATAGTATTCAGGTTTTTATATTCGATGGGTAAAATATATGATGTTGACTCCACATTTGTATGTGAAGTATTTTTAGAGCTCTCTGATGCTAGCAAACTTCATTTCTGCAGGCTCCATACAACACAACTCGAGTCCACTTAACTACGTCAGGCATGTTCAAGATCCTACAATTATATATACTCAGGCATGGATATAATAGTCTCCCGCCTAAATGACCTAAATACGTATAATTTAGTCTCCTCCAAAAATTTACTTTAGTCTACTATTCAAAAACATTAATTTAGGCGAATTTAGTCTCCTTACAAAGTTCATTTAGGCTAATTTAGTACACTAAAAAGGTAATTTAGATCAATTTAATTTCTAAAAATTTAATTTAGGCTAATTTAGTTTACTAAAAATTTTTTTCAGAGTAAAATTTTTCAATTTTTTTTTCTAAAAAAATTACATTAATGTATAATTTTCATTTTTTTTAAATCCATCAATTCTACGTACGTGTCCACTCTCCATTGCTTATAACATGAACACGCCAAATCGTAACTCCCTTAATTTAGTCGCCTAATCACCATCAAGTTTAGGTAATTTAGGCGACCGTATATACGGTCGCCTAATACAACCATGCCTGTATATACTACATCGAAGCCATCATCACCTTCGCGACGAAACAATCGAGCAAAAAATGTCGAACCATTTCTGTACGACATAAAAATCCATACAGCTAGTCCGAAGGAACCCATGCGAGAGTGGAAAAGTACAACTATAGAGCTTTGACTCTATCCTCACAGATGGATAGAATCACTCGTCTAAATTTACTAAATATGGTTAGTTTAGTCTCTTGAAAAAATTAACTTAGTCTTTACAAGAATGTTAATTTAGATTAATTTAGTCTACTAAATTAGTAATTTAGACCAATTTAATCTATAGAAATTTAATTTAGTCTCTTAAAATTTTATTTTCTAAAAAATAAATTAATTTAGAAAAAATAATAAAAATCTATCAATTCTGCATAGGTGTCCCTTTTTCATTGGTTGCAACATGTAGTCGCCAAATCACACGCATTTCAATTTAGGTGCGATATCACCAAACAATTTAGTTAATTTAGACGATAGTATATACGATCTCCTAATACAACCATGCTTGGGTATGTGCTACGTACGTGACGTCGTACGGACTGTTTTGAGTGGGGACGATCTGAAATTGGTAGCTTGAATTTGAGGAAAGTGGGTCTGCAAATATTCATCAGAATTTGATCATGACTAGAATGATGTAGAGTTAAGTGCTGTATCCACAGCTTCTAAACACATACTTTATCATCTCAGACGCTGTATTTCTTCTCAGTATAGGAAGTTATTTTCCGTGTTTCAGTGTGTAAGAGCGTGACCATGATGTGGCTCGGCAGCTGACTTCTTGTATGGTAGCACAAGTAGAAACGATGGAAAGCTATTCCATGTGATTTAGTTTCACAAACTCTTCCTGTCCTCATTCGCCTCGAAAACACTAAACGTGCTGGATCTGTTTCATAGTAGAAGCGGCTCATCATCAATGTCGTTATTGTCTCGTTATTGTCAAATCCAAGGTAGGTTATTCCTGTATTGTAAAAAGAAAGTGAATGAATGCTAAGTAAATAGCAAAAAGATGGGAATTAAGCACTAGGGGAATGATTTTAAACAGGTAACATGGGACAAGGATATAACAGCCTAAAAATGCCTGTCGGAAGGTATGGAAATATCCATAACTTCCACATATAAACTTCTTCTCAAACGAAAGCAATAAATTATTTTCGAAAAAAATTTGATAGCAATTAGAATGATGAGTTAAAATATATCCTGGACATATTGCCTTGTGATGAAATATATGATTAGATAAACATCGTAAGAGATCTTTATATTACATTAAGACATTTTATGAAAGTGAGAAAGAATTAACTATTGAATAAACTACAATCGTTATTTTTATGAAAATAACTAGTTGCAATGCGTTCAAATATAGATGGACGACAAGAAAAACAAACTCACACGAATTCACAAATCCTTTATTTAAAGTCAGAATCTCATACTATCTTAGAGCAGTTTCTACACCAAAATTAATGTTATAGTATAGACGCATAAAAAAACCCGATAGCGCACATAATGTTATTCATATTGATGTTTTATTCAACGTCATATTTGAAAGATAAAAACTCAAATAAGTACTTTTGGATGTAACTATTTGAAGTTGATAAATCGATGAAGTATCAACGGTGGAGAGTAGCCAGAACAAAATCTTTGAAAATCTGAAACTGAAAATGTTTTTAATTTTCATATCTTCTATTTTATTGGATGGTTTTGTGAAAGTCTTTATAATGAGTGATTTTAAAGCCAATACTCTCCGAGGTTAGAATTTGAATGTTTGGAGAGTTGAAAATATATGGTCAAATCACAATAAGCGCACGTCCCTCCCGTCCCAACTGGTTTAGGATTGATTGGGTTGCCTACACATACTTCTTGTACTCAGGTACTCCTACAAAGATTGTCAAATCGATGATCAATGCGAACTGAAAAGAATATTCTTTTGAAATCGACCGATCTGAAAAGACCAATCTTCTCCTCTTCCTACAACATTTGAACCGACGATAGTGAAAATTAAAAACTAGAAAGTTTTGAACTCAACCAATTAAAAAATTCAATTTTCTGTCGAACCATTACAAACTCAAACTTCAATCAACTCCAATATATTCATCAATCATTCACATCCACAGGAATCCTTACATTAGTTACGACGCGAGACATCTATAGCACTTGGAACAATATTAGCTACATAAGTTCAAACTCCATCATCAACTTCGCCTCGTACTACGCAATAACCTAAATTACTCTTAGAACAATTGTCACGAGAAAAGTCAAAACTCACACACAGTAACTAAGAGACCACACACAACCCTATCAGAAAAATGACACATAAGTCAAATTTACCGAATGAACAATCTTGTTCTGTAAACACTTGTCATGAAAAAAAATCAAAACTCATTCACACAAATAGTCAATACGAGATGACACACTGCCAGCACCTTACATAAGTGATGCAACTTTGCGGGATAACTTCACTGAAACCTCAAGATGTACTAAGAATTCATAAACGTTATCATAGAGAAATTTCACTACATAATAAAAATAACTTCTTTCATCTCTAATATCTAGTGATAATCTAACTAAATTTGGTTAACCTATCCTGAAATTAGATAAAAATCTAAGGTAGCTTTTAAGTTGAAATAAAAATATGGATGGAGAACTTCATAGATTTTAACACAAACTATTGATATTTTGAAGTGAAATGTTGTGAATCTGAGATCTTAATATTGTAAATCATTCTGCTATAGAATAAAAACTATAAATTAAAATATAATCATATAATGTAAATAGAACTTTATATTAAGTCATGCTAGAAAAATTTTGATCTTTTGTTATGAAAAATATTTTATACATAAATTATTGATTTTTTAAAAAACTAGAATCTAAAAATATGATAATCATACAAATTTTGAAGAAAAAATTAATTGATGGACCCTTGGAAACTAACTCTCTTGAATGTACCCAACAGGTTTCAATTTACCCTATGGGACCACATTCGACTTCCACCCTCAACCATGTTCTTATAACCTACTGACTTGCTCTATAGAGTGGTGAGTGTGAACCACTTTCGGGCCAGAGTATTTTGGAAACTCATTCCAGCCATTGTCTAAGAAAACGACGGGCACCATTGAGTCTGAACCGTGACTTAATCTTTCTACTCGAAATAACCCCAAATAGCACAGTGACGTTGGGGCTGCAGGACGTTGATGGGTCCGTCGGGTAAATTGAAACCTGTTGAGTATTTTGAGTTTCCCGGGGTCCCATCAAGTAATTTCTTCAACTTTGAGAGGATAAATTCTGGTGAAAATAATTTGCACAACAATTGGTAGTCCATAGACGAAGGGCTGTTCAGTCAAAGCCGGATCTGCTTCCGACCAGAGTAAAACTTAGTCCGGTTTTAACTAAACTCCCAACATGGCATCATTGGCATAACCAAATACTTGCCAATGATGGATTTCGCGCAACAGACTCAATCAAAAAATATCGACAGGGTTTTTCCGGTCATAACCACACGTGCAATTTAATCCAGAGTCTCATGCTTGTGCTTTGACAACTCCACCCAACTTTTTTCATGGAAGTAAATAATCACTCTGCATTCCGTGCGTTTTGTAATATTATTATTTTCTTAATCATTATTTTGTCAAAATCGTTTTAACACGTTATTGTAACGGATTTTTATGTGATTTTTATTTAAAAAATCATATAATTGCAAAATATGTAATTTTAAAAAATTTACACTGAAAATGATAGTGAAAAAGAGATCACAGTTATATGTGTAAATCATAAAAAGAAAAGAGAGCAAGAAAAAAATTCATCAAGACAGTTAAACTGAATTATTAAAACATCTTTATTTTGTTATTCAAAATTTCATCTTTTGTTTGTTTTTTTATCATTGAATGATAAAAAAAAACATTTGAAAGAATTCAACAAGTTGAAGGAAATAAACTATAGTGTCATTATCTTTAAGGCTTGTCTAGATATGATTATCTAATCCATGTAAAAACATTCCTTATATAAAATTTCTTTTCTATTAGCAAGTTAAAGTTCAAAATTGAAAAAAAAATGATTTCAGAAAACCTGGGTTCAATTGGGTTAACTGAGAAAAAATCTCTGGGTTAAAGAAAACCCAATTGAATCTGTGTACGAAAGCCTAACTGATGTATCACGTACTACGCTTTGTTGATTCTCTCTCTCTACTTGTATTTTGTTGTTGGAGTGAATGACTGTTTGCTCATTTACATAACCTCATAAATCGATAAATATTGTGATAAAAAACTAGGAATATTAGATATTTATTCAAATCATTTAGAAGATATGTTTGAATTCTATGTTAGTGTCTTTTTTACTTATCAAACCAACAAGATTACTCAAACTAAGTGAAGTTCATTCAAATTATATCTAATCAGTTTCTTCTTCTTCTTTTCTTTCAAGTTTCTAAATTTCCTACACAAAAGTGCTAGTAAAAACTTCAAACATTACATAGATCTTCAGATTGATTTGGATGGAAATTTTTTTTTCAAGATTACCAATTGATTCTTATGAAATTAAATATATTTAAATCAGAATTATTAGGCTATTGGATCGTAAAATAACATTCTTAGTTATGAGATTATAAACTTGTGATTCTAGTTTTTAACGTTCAAAATTTATTTAAAACCTATGAGAAGAAAATTGCGAAATTTTTGTTTGAACTAAAAAATTTTGAATTTTTTTACGTATATGTTTCAATTGAAATGAGAAAAACTATATATATTTGATTTAAAAATTTGCGAGTCTAGGATACAAATAATTTCAAATATTTTGTTTGAAAAGAATGAAACTGGACTAAAATATCACTATGTAGAGTAGGTTTGATTTGTAAATCAATTTTGGTAAAGAAATGAGAGTGTTTTACTATGATAAAAATGTTATGCAAAGGTTTATGTGTTGTGAAAGTTTTAATTTTGTTATGCTTCGAGGTCAAAACCTAGAATCTAAAAATATGATAAGAATGAAAAATTTCGGATTATATTTTTTGGTGAAAAAAATGTATTGGATGAAAAATTTAAATGACCGGGAAAAAAAAGCAAGCAATGTATCACACATGCAGATATTGGGTTTTCTTTAAAGCAAAAGGCATCAATTTTGAGATTTTTCTTCTGGCTTTTTAGCCTATGCTTACTGGATTGGACGGATCACTATACTGGATATATCATGTAAGTGAATCAGTGACAACGATTTTTTTTTTAATGATAGCACTCCAAATGGGCTTCATGTTCGTGTATCAAGTTTGTTTTCATTGGTGTATTCTTGTTTGGATGGTCAGTACTAATGTGTGGCATAAATAATGTAGCTGGGTTTATTTACTACTTAGACTATCCATGCATCTTCTCACTCTGAGAAGACTTTTAGACCTCTCGACTTCGTAGGTTTAAATCAGGGCTACTTCGAATCAATTCTTAAAGTTGAGACTCGAAGCTTATATTACAGATATTCAACCATAGACACACGCCTATGGTCGAAAGTGCATAGTGAAACCTTTGAGGTATTTTTTCACATATAATCTAGGTTTTATACTACGATCATGAGTATGGTACTTCTAAACGTCCAGAGAGTAGATCATATTCATTATAGTACATATCTTATGAAAATATATGCATTGTGATGTATGATTTGACAAATATCGATATTGTAATACACAATATACAATAAAGTCAATACTTTGAGGAAAAAGAATAGGATGTCAATTTATTGGTCTCGGAGTCGAATAGATACAGTAGCTACTCTACCTAGAGCTCAGATACATGTCTATGGAGAGTAGCTAGACTCTGAGTTAAGTGTGCCCCCATCTCGTTGGACGTTCAGGGGCAGTGGTCCCTTGCTGGGCTCTTCGTACAATCAACCCCACTTTATGTGTAAAATCTAGTTTTGTTATGCACTTGTCTCCGCATTAGCACAACCATTGGTAGTCCATGAAAGAAGGGCTGTTTACTTGGAGCCGGATTTGTTTCCGATCATAGAAGACTTCAGTCCTGATGTAAGTGAAGTCCCAGCAAGCAACAAGTGACTTCCATCTACAGCCAAGTCTTCGCCACTCACGTAAGAAGATTCGTCGCTGGCTAGGAACAGAGCTGCATTAGCTATGCAGTCAGGACCTGCAATTTTGTGTGAGACACTAGTCTTCATGGCCGGGAAAAATGACGTGGTCTGGAGTTCATCTAGTACATTCTTAGGGAGGATGTTCATAATTGGTGTCCAGATCGCACCAGGAGAAATGGTGTTCACTCTGATATTGAAGTCCCTGAGCTCCAAAGCTGCAGCGCGAGTCAGTCCCAACAATGCAGCCTTGAAAGTCGTATAAGGCAAGGGGCCGCCTGCGACTTGTGCAACCACGCTCGACGTGGTAATGATGCTGCCAGATTGCTCCGGTTTCATAACTCTGGCGGCGTGTTTCACTCCCAGGAATGCCCCTTTCAAGAGAACGCCGTAGGCACGATCGAAGTCCGCCATTAGAATTTCGTCCACTGGGCCGCCAGGCCCAGACACTCCAGCATTGTTAAACATAACGTGGAGTCCTCCGTAGGCACTGACGCTCAGATCCACAGCCGCCGCAACGTGTTCCTCTTGGCTCACATCGCAATGGATGTAGCGGGCTGTGTCAGGTCCGCCGAGCTCGCGTGCCAACTTCTCTCCAGCAGCGTCCTGAATGTCGGCAATGATCACTTTTGCACCGTGTGCCACAAACGTCTTCGCCGTCTCTTCCCCAATTCCGCTTGCACCTCCCGTGATGACAGCCACTTTTCCCTGTAATCTGCACAGCTCACAATCATTCTATTACAGTAGATCCAGAATAAGGGGATCACAGGTGCACACAAATCTATTGCAAAACTTCATTGACAGAGGTACATAACCACATCCCAAACACCAGAATACTCAAGGGGGAGGACTTGGGATCGATACTCATCTTGTCTAACGCAGAATACAGAAGTAGTCTGCGTACGACAAGATGAGTATCGATCACAAGTGACTATGATTATGTCTTCCCTGCCGAGGGAGTTCTGCTAGTCTCTTCACAGCATCCAGGCTTCTAAGCATGTCTGTAAATAAGTAGTTGCATCTCTAGTAACATTCTCTCCATCAACATATGCATAACCTTATTTAGTCCATCATTCATCTTCTGGGGCGAGACACAACCTGAGGGCACCAGTGACGGGCCTAGCGATCGTAGCCATTTGTCCGACGGGCAGAAATAAGCCGACAGTCTGGTCCATAGTTTCATGGTGTAAACCAGAGTCCAAGTTTAACTTCCTCAGTGAGAATATCCTATCTGCCAACTTGTGTCCTTTCGAAAGCAAATCATAAATTTGAGGATAGAATCTTATAATACTTCTATAAAACCTCTAACCTTTGAAAGCAGGACTTGACGTATTGTATCTTTCGAACGAGCTAGATTCCGTGCAATTCTATCAAATTCCAGGTCTTCCGCTTCAGCATAATGAGACATACGAAACAACCAAGAGAATGAAAGAATCACAAATGTTACTTGTGTGATCTCCACGGACTTTCGTTTCGTGCTGAGGAGTTTTCGTTTTGTCCCGACAGGACCGCCTCCTTGTGAAGATGTTTTTGATCTCAGGTTGGATTAGACAAGAGTAGTCTTCCTGAAAATAGAACAATGACGCAACGCAAACAAGCTCGCCTTCTTCTCTGTTTGCTTATCTGTTCACGAAGTCCATGTCCTAGACGAGCATACCACACGCTGACATTGTTGTATAGTCGTTAGAACCTCGAACGGAAAAAATTATGTCAATTCTGGCAACTTACGTCCCATATAAGACATGGTCCACATTGACAGGGCAGCACATGCTACAACAAGACTGAAGGGTGGACAACAAGCGCCCGTATACACAGCAGCGGTCAAGTTTCGCCCCTTCTCGCAAGCAGTCAGTGGGTCACAGAGATTTTGATCTTCCGTGCAAACCAACGAAGACACCTCTCCTTCACGCTAGGCATGTAAAAGTGTGTTACTCGTGAATCAGATAGCAACACCATTCAGAACACAACGACCAGCTGAGAGCACACTTCGCCATCAGAACAAAAACTCCCAATCCCAGAGAAGAAGACTTTTGTAGCGGATGGGAAAAAGCCTTTAGCAAGCGATGCAGACCTGGAAGCAGATTTCAAACAATCCCCGATGTCAGATGAAACTTCAGAATGACGAAGGCGAGGAGAGCAGCCGTCGGCGCGCACTGTCGATTGCTATCACAAGTGCTGAGCGATGTAGATTCAGTGGAGCGATGTAGATATATATACATATCCAGTGGCGGAGCTAAGGGGGGGGGGGGGGGGGGGGGGGGTTGGGGGGATGGCGGTGGGGCACGCCCCCCACCCCCCAAGCCCAGGAAGGGTCTACAGATTGTGAGCTACAGATTTTCACAATCTGCGGTCCAGAAAAAATTTTCTCTACAGTAACTAGAGAAAATTAGGAGAAAAATGGCGGGGGGCTCCCCTCCAGGTATTTCTGGCTCCGCCCCTGTACATATCTCTGTCCAGGAGATCTGAGCTTGTTTCAGCTTCTGTCGTAGGCCATATTGATAAAAATTACTTTTATTTTGATTTGTAGTATCTAGTCAAAGCAAAAGCTGAAAGTATCGAATACATTCGGTGTAATGTGATTCAGTGCCACTTAAATCCACTGAAATAAATTCTTTATGCACAAAGCCGTTTGAGGAGCTGGCGGAGAAGGGATCAGACCGCAGGATCCTTCTCTGCGACTGCAGAGAAGGCTCCCGCGGTCGATTTTATATAACTTTGGCTGTGTAAAATATTTGCTAAAATGATTCCCTTGATTTTGGGATGTTAAATGTTCGGAAAGTCAATGCTCCAACTCTAGCCATTACGTCGTAGTTAAGAATGTTCCATTTACAGGATTTTGCTGAGAATCAATCTCATATAATGGACTGAGAAGCGAATGAATTGTGGAGGATATAGGAGTCGCTTTCGAGAAGTTTCTGCGATACCCACGAGAACTTCGTGGAAATGACTCCTATTTCTGGAAATGTCCGGCCTCTGAACAGACTGGGGTCCAATTGATATTCTAATACGAAAAAAAGAAATGGAAATAAACTCCACGGGAAACAAGAGTAGAATAGACAATAGTAAAACCAGGAAGTGGGCCATCATCCTCCTTAACAACTCTTCCTCTTCTCACAGACACATGAACTTCGTGACTTCTGTTTCTGTGAACTTTGCCCTATCGAATACTCACACCGACAGCTCTCTACCGAAAAGCATCATCGGGGGATTAGTTATAAGACTGACGTGGTTACAACTTGATTGAAAATCATCCCACCTTATTGGCTGAAATCTCTCATACTTCAATTGTCAGCCAATTACAGTCTAGATGCTCCGGTTAATTTAGGCGCTAGAGGGAGCGTGAATTTATGGTCTGGTATACTGTCCCTAAAACAACCATGCCTTAATATGAGGGACGAGACCTCAGGGAGAGATCAAATCCCAGTATTGCTTTAGGCCTGAGTCATTATCCTTCACAAACCTATGCATGTTGATGAGTGTATGATGAATCTTTTTCTTCAACTTCAGTTTCATGGACTACCGTTGTATGGAGCTTGATAAGGGCCCTACTTGTGTGCAAGCTAGGAATCTTATCGAGGCAAGGAAGATGATCGATAGGACTACTGTGGATGTACTTATTTCGTTCGTCTTCCTCCTCTGACTTCTGAAAGAAGCAGATCTCGTTACTCAAATGAACAGAAAATAAGGAGGTCTCTATTTCATCTCTCCGGAGAGGTTCGTGAACGTATCAGGACATTTGCCAACTCCGAAGCCCTCTCCTATATAGGATATATGCCCAGACATGCGAGGGTACACTACAGTCATCTGCAATACCGTCCCTTCCTCTTACGGTGTCGATAGTTTTGGCGTTCTATTGACTGCATTGACATGATATGTATTGAGAGTAAGCTTTGCCCATCAGAATCACCGACATCATTTGAAATATCTGCGTGTATGGCAACCGCCACCTTGTTTTTGTCAACGGGATCGTAGCAGCAGCTGTATCCTCTGATGGTGTCGAAGTTTTTGGCGTTCTATTGAGTGCATTGACATGGTATGTATTAGAGTAAGTTTTGCCCACCAGAATCACCGACATCATTTGAAATATCTGCATGTATGACAACCGCCACCTTGTTTTTGTCAACGGGATCGTAGCAGCAGCTGTATCCTCAAGTTTGTAACATTTCTCAAAGCAATCCAGCGTATCATCTTCTTCAGTAGCGTGACAGTCACTAAAATTTTCGGAGATGCATTGACGCAGTCCATGATCGCATCTTGTAATCTCGATGTCAGAGATCTACTTGACTATCAAACCGATCAAGTCCATCAAGAGCACTATATATGTTGACTCCTGCAAAGAGAAGAAGGAGGCGATCCATGCTCTTCGAGCAGTCCTTCAATCAAACAGCTCGGACACGGAAAAGCTCGGAACAGCTCGAAAAGAACACGGACACGACTGGAGAGGCGATTTCAAGATTGGAATCATGAGAACAGATGTTCATCCAGGCCGGACGACCAGGCAGAATTTGTCTCGTCTCATCCCTGACCAGTCAAATCTGTGGACTTCCTTTGGTACGCAAAACAAATCAGCGGATACGAAGCTCGTACAATGTTTACATGTGCAGCATCTTCGATGTCTTGTGTGCACATACCACGACTCCGAATCTCGTTCTTTTAAACCACCCGTCCTCGACTGGATTTTCTGCTAATTGTGGAGAATAAGAGTTTGTGCAATGCAGCCTACCAGACGTCAGTTGGTATAAGTGGACCCTACACTTGGTACAAGCTTCCCCCTTTAACATAACATGTGCAATAATTTACATATACAAAGTATTTATTCATATTTATCTATAAATCACAACTACAAAGGATGGCAGCTTGAGTGACAAAACTACTCTACTAATATATATCAATTAGTCACTGAATTCATGACTCATGAACTCAAAGACAATTATATGTATATTATGTATTTCAGGTTATGACTAAGTATATAGAGATCTAATAATATTAATTTTAAGCAAAGTAACTATAATATATGTGAAGATATATTTCATGCTTAAAATTTGTGAACAAGTATCTCATTGAAATTGATTTTAGTTGAACAATTTAGTTTTCAGTAATATATTCATGTGTTAGATATTCACATATGAGTAAAAAGAATTGAAAGCCAAAATACTTACTGGAATAGTTGAGAAGCACTTTCTGGAGCCGAGTTTGACCAGGATATCAACAAGCATCGAAGTTCGATGCTGGTTCCTTGTCGGAGAGATTTAGGTTCTTCTAAAGGCCGTACACTAGAAAACGAGTAATTCCCATATCCCACCAGACTTGGCCATGTGAACAGCGAAAACTAAAACTTTTAGACTACACTACTATTTAGGCCTCGACAAGGTAAAATAAAAGGTAATCGAGCAAGGCATGAACCTTTACCTTTAAGTTACCTTTTATTTTACTCGCGCCACAACTATCTACTATTTAGGCCTCGACAAGGTAAAATAAAAGTTAATCGAGCAAGGCATGAACCTTTACCTTTAAGTTACTTTTTATTTTACTCGCGCCACAACTATCTACCTTTACCTCAGGATAATTACCCGGTTACCTGGTATGGATTCTAAATGTTTGAAAGTTACCTTTACCTTAGGATTACTCGGTAAACCTCACTTTTAGGGTAAAAGGTAGAGTTAATAGGATAATTTACCCGTTGAGTAAACTGGTAAATGGTGCTGCAACTGGCCTGAAATTTCATGACATGCTATACACTTCAGCGATAAACCCTGAATGAAGAGACCACAAGATTACTACAACTAATCTGAAAGAAAATGAAAAAAAATTAGCAAGTGACAACATTGCAAAACTTCATTTTGCCATTAAAAAACTCATCAATCCTTTCATTCTCTTCTTGTGCTCCATCCAGTTTTGTGATGGAATGTAAACTCTCCAGAGTCCGTCATGTGCTAACTAACTACTTTTCTAACTTTGTGTTTTCACGAGATTATGTAACACATGGATTGCCATTGGAATTACCAATTCGGCTTAAACCTGCATTGCTGTTTTCTGGATCTCGTCTTCAGGAAAAATGTGCAGAATTATTTTTTGAATAATACTGAGAGTGTCCACGTTTTTTTTAGCAGGTACAAAGGTTACATGGTAATTACCGAGTAACCCATTTGGCTCTATCTTTACCTAACCCTATAACCAAACCTCTAACTTTTATCCTTACCTTTTACCTAGTAACACTAAAATATTACGGTACCTTTTACTAAAAGGCTACTACTACTACTAGTTGAAACCACCTCGAATCGTAACCCGTTTGGTTTGAAATAAGGGATTGAAGGTTGCTGACAAATCCTGGATAAAGTGCCCGGAGCGCAAGGGACAAGTGTGTGTGAGCCTAAACTCCCCACCTTTCAGCGTTTGTAGTCCACGTGGGGGTTTGATGTGGTACCCCACTTTTGGTATTTTTGACGAAATTAAAACATTTTTGGAAAACTGTACCGCGGCAGCTGTGTAAATAGCCTTCGGTGCATCAAAACAGAGTGAAATCGGAAGATCGGAGAGATTCTTGAGAGAACTCGTAGAATCCAGGATTTGGGTGCAACGTCGGAGACAGACACCACCCTACATGCGGGCTCTGAAGGAATAACCCCTTCGGCGCAAGGCGCAAAATCCGCCTTCGGCGCTGCGCCTTCGGCGCTAAAGAAATCCTTCAGAACTTGGTCAATTCCCAAACGCCTTGACTTGGTTAGGGTCTTGTTGGAAAGAGTTCGACGCGCTGATTTTAACGAGACCAAGAACGCCACGAACGAATGAGAACTCCGGGAGTTATGAAGGTCGCAAGATACTCAGCTTCTTGCCTACGAGTAGGCGAGGAAAGTTTGTCCTATGCGCGGACGAAGGCAGTTCGCCTACGCGTAGGCAAAATAGTGTTTGACGTCGGCGCGATGTCCGCCGCGAATGTCGCCTACTCGTAGGCGAGGAAACCTCTGCCCAGGCGGACGAGCGAAGTTCGCCTACGCACAGGCGCTTCGGCGTCGGCGGGAAATCCGCCTTCGGCCTAGAAATGCGCCTTCGGGGTTAGAAATTGTACGGCGCCTTCCGCGCCAGCGCAGCAGCGCGGACGGGCGAGTACCCACTGGAGTAGTAAAATTTGTACGGACCGTACGGACTGTACGGACGGAACGGATGGATGTGCCTT